CCTTGAGGGGTAAAGCTAAGGGAGAGAGTCCAGGCCCTCAGTTGAAGTCCCAGTACTGGTACCAAAAAAATTCAAATCCAAAGCCTCCTCTGAGTTTCACAGGAAACTTTTAGATGTGAGCCCCTATAATGACCAATCAAAAATCAATTACATGCTTCAGACATACAGTGGCCCGGAGTAATCATTTCAGTTCCCAAAGCAAGGAATAGGGGCATAGAAAGGATAGATGGGAACAAAGCCCAATCTAAAACCCACTAGAGCAAACATTAAATCACATAGTTCCATGTCCAGTATGCAGGGAGTGCCGGTGGGATATGAGATCCCAAGAGCTGGAGTACTCCTAACCCTGACCCTGTGATCCTGTGCTTATAGACCACATGGCCATCGTCTCAGTCTTGGCTCTGCTTGTTGCCTATAGCTTCCGTTGGCAGGCATGCTGGGCTCCTAGCATCTCTTTCTGGGATCTCCAATACACCTCTGCCTTCACTCACAGCTCCACCCATCACCCTGTCATGGCCCATTATAGCGTGTGGCCAACAGTGAGTGTTCAGAATTCTTTTATTGCATGAATGAATGAAAGAATGAATGAATGACTTCTTCATTCAGGCTTCTGCTCGGAGGTCCCCTACCCCAGGACACCATTCTTGACCTGAAAATTCTGGTTACATAAAGCTCTTGTCTACTCCTCAAGGGGGTTTGCTCCCTGTCTATCTCACCAGGAAATGGCCACTCTGTGACTAAATACTCCCTAATATATTCCCTGTGCCCAATGGAAGACCTGGCACACTGTGAAAGTTATGAGTTGCCTTGCTGGTGGAACTGAATGTAGAGCACCATTAAAGAGGGACCAGAGTCAGGTGCTGATGGTTCATGTCTGTAACCCTAGCCATTCAGGTGGCTGAGGATTGGGCCAGGATTGCCAGCCTGGGCAAGAAAGTCCATGAGACTCTTATCTCCAATTAACCACCAAAGAAGCCAGAAGTGGAGCTCTGGCTCAAGTGGTTGAGCACCAGCCTTGAGCAGAAAAAATAAAACAAAAAAAAAAGCTCATGGACAGCACCCTGGCTCTGAGTTCATACCCAAGATCAGCATACACATAAAAATGATGGTTTGGAAAACCCTCTCCCCGTGTTTAGCAACTCATACTAAGGCCAAATAGCATTTCCTTGGGCAATGCTTTCCTGATCAATCAGCCCAGAATAGGTTGTTCTGTTACAGCATTTCCACATCTTACATGTTCTCTTCAGAACACTCATTATAATGATTTTTAGTTGTAGAATGTTTGATCTATTTTTTCTCTTTCTTTAACGCTGTCAGCACTGGGGCTTGAACTGGGTATGATGATACTCAAGTGGCACATTTCTTGTGGCACTGATCAAGAGTATTAGTGGACAGACAAGAAGGTGACCAGGCAGCAGAGCATTATGTATGCTACATCAAAGCACACTTACAATTGAAGGGCAGAAGTTGGTCTGAAAAAGATTTGTTTCCAGAGAGTGTTGAAATGCAGAGCCCAGTGATCAGTGGGCTTCGAAAGTGAAGAGCAAGGCAGAAATGGCTTTCCTAGCCACAGGGCCAATTGTCCAGGGAGGCTGCAAGTGCAAAAGGCAGGTTGGATAGTGATCATAGACCCACACTAAGTAGCTGTTCAGAGAGAATACCCCTGAAGTGCACATTCAGAGCAATGGACAAGGTGACAGAACAAGCCTACATATATTTAACGGGACTGAAGTCATGCAAAGTACATTCTCTGACCTACATAGAATGAAGCTAAAAATCTGTTTACAGAAAGTTAAAGAATCTGTTTTTTTGTTGTTTGTTTGTTTTGGTCAGTCGTGAGGCTTGAAGTCTGGGCCTGGCTGTTGCCCCTGAGCTCAAGGTGAGCACTCTACCACTTGAGCCACAGCACCACTGCAGGTTTCCTGAATGGTTTATTGGAGATTAGAGTTTCACAGACTTTCGTGCCCAGGCTGGCTTTGAACCATGATCCTCAGGTCTCAGTCTCCTGAGTAGCTTGGATTACAGGCAATAGCCACCAGTGTCCTGCTAGAATCTGTAATTTTTTTAAATTTTCTTTTTCTTTTTTTTTCCATTGCTGGGTCTTAAGCTTGGCCTGGGCACTGTCCCCGAGCTTCTTTTTGCTCAAGGATAGTGCTCTACCCCTTGAGCCACAGTACCACTTTGTCTTTATTGGAAATAAGAGTCTCATGGACTTTCTTGCCCGGGCTGGCCTTGAATCAAGATGCTCAGATCTCAGCCTCTGAGTAGTTAGCATTACAGGTGTGAGCCACCAGCACCTACCTGGAATCCATGCTTAATAGCACACTCTACAGTAGGTCAAAGTCAATAGGGAAACTAGTTAATTTTCTGAAACAAATGAAAAGAAAAAAAAACATGCAGCTAATGCAGAGCTGAGAGAAAAACTTGCACACACACATTAAAACAAATTAATATGCAACTTCATAGCTTCAGGAATTAACAGCAAACTATGACTTCCAAGCACACTGAGGACATAAGAAATTAAAACTAAATCCCAAGTAAGTACTACAGAAAATAAAACGATGAAGATTAGAACAGATATTAAGGAAACTAGAAAATAGCAGAAAAAAATCAATGAAACAACAGAAAAATCTATTTTTTTTCTAGGAACAAAAAGCAATACAGCCTTAGTGAAATTAAGTGAAGAAAGCATGCTTTAGAGAAAGGATGCTCACAGGAAGAAGGCGTTGTGTAGACAGGCCTCACTGGCAGAACTCTTCGGCTATGGAATGTCTGGGTAGGTCAAAACTCAGTGGCAGAGTTGAGAGAGCAGGTAGAGGGCTCTGGCAAAGGGCCAGAAGTGGGAGACATTCAGAAGCAGAGAACAGTGAGCACAAGGCACTTGGAAGCAGGTTTGGCATCTTCCCAGTGATGGTACTGTGAAGAGAAGATTCACATGTTTGTGTTCTGTGGAGGACATTTCCAGGCCAAAGACCTTTGTAAGCAAAAAGCAGTCCCCAGAGGGCAGCACACTAGACGGTATGGGGAGGGAGCCCTTGTAAGTATACTCCTAGGGGGAAGGGAGTGGATAGAAAGCAGGAAGAGGAACAGATAGGCCCAATAGTGGAATCCACTTGCTTAGTGGCAACATGGTCAACAAGTCATTTTTCATGTCGTCACCCTGTTTTACTCTGTGTCATATACCATCACCGGCTGAGACAGCAACACGTAATTAGGAGCTACTGTTATAGTCCTCGTTCTGTGAATTCGTTCTCCCTCCTTTCCCAGTCACACCCTCTGTATGGTGATCAAGAGTGGTATGAGGGACACTAGAACAGTGCTTAGGTTCTTGCTCAGTGGTGGACAGAGTTCTCTGAATGCCACGTGTTCTGTCTTTGGACTTCTTGTCCCTGGGTTGGAACAAGACCTTGATGGCATTCTGGGTACATTTTCAGATGACACAAAATGTGGAAGCCTGGCTCACTTGATAGGCTGAATGATAACTCAACAGGATTCAGACAGTCTGGGGTATTGATCATAAGGAGCAAGATGAAGCAGCTTTTGTGATTGGTACATACGTAGAGGAACGAGTTCCAGTGTACATTGGGTGGCATCTTTGGAGAGGGCCTTTGAGACATGTGCATTCAGAATTAGTTTCAGGAATGTGGATATGTGATGCTGAAGTTAATTCCTGTGTAACTAATGGAAGCTAATAAAAATACGAAAACAATTAGGGTCAAAGAAGAAAAGGGACCAATGCTATTTAAATGGGAAAAACTGACAGAATATGAGACCCTGAGAAGTGTCTTCATCTATTTTAGGGACTGGTATATAGGAGAGGTTTTACAGACCATCATGGGTGACAATTAAAGGTGAAGAGATTGTTAACTGAATAGAAGAATACATTTTCTAAAACTAAGGCTGTCTACAGACACACTTGGAAGGAATTGAGCTCCTGCTCACTCCAAGTATGTAATAGGACTCATGAAGGGATGCTCCCCAAAAGAATGCTGTGTTCCTTAGTAGCATTTGCTGAGTCTAGATATCTCCACTACTTGTGCATAATACTTTATATCAAGTATGTAGCTGCTTGTGTAGAAAAAATGAGTTCAGGTAAATTATACACATGGTAGAACACACCAAGTTATTACTCATAACAAAGGAAAGCTTAACACTGACTTGTGTAATAGCTTAACATTTATTGTAATTGTGTACATTAATGTAGATTAAGCAAGTATAATTAGAAACACTAAGCAATTCAAAAGAAAGCAAAAACAATTCAACCATTCCTCTTCCTTATGTCTACAGATTTCGGTGTCTTGTAAGAAATGAAAGAAGCTGTTTTGGATCAAAATCAGAATTCATTTTACAAGCTGTCTTTTCGTATCTTACATTTTGGTTCTAAATTCCCTTAATGATAGAGTATAACTTTGAAGTGGAGAAATCAGCCTATCTGAGGTCTCTTTACCTTATGTTCTACTTTAAGGGCCTTCACTGATACTCTGGGATAGCACTTCTCACCAAAGAGTGGCTTTTTTCTCTTGTTCCCATTCATTCAGCACCTGAGTGTTAGTGCTCATCATGTGCCAAGACCCATGCCGAGAATCAGACTTCAGGAAGACTAGCTCATGTAGTGTGAGTGCAGTGTACCATGCCAACTTGTTTTATATCTTTCAGAGTAAATCATATGCACAACTACGCAAATAAATGACACGTTACTATCTAATCATTTGGCAGGAAGAATATACCCACAAATCATTGTGCATAGGGTTCAGAAAATGTGAAAAGATGGAAAGACATTTTCAAATAAGATCAAGAGAAGAGGCCTTCATTTTGAATTTTTAAAAAAAGACAACTTTTTTCCCCCAGTCCTGGAGCTTGAATTCTGGGCCTGGGCACTGTCCCTGAGCTTCTTTTGCTCAAGGTTAGCACTCTACCAATTGGACCACAGCTCTACTTCTGGCTTTTTTGGTAGTTTATTGGAGATAAAGAGTCTCACAGACTTTCTTGCCTAGGCTGGCTTTAAACCATGATCCTCCTATCTTAGCCTCCCAATTAGCTAGGATTATGGGTGTGAGCCACTGGTGCTCCGCTCAGTTGAAAAACTTAAAGTTTGTTCTTTCACTCAAAGAACTTACAAATTACTGTTGGGGCTAAAGGCAGCAGAGTACAGTCAAGTTCATGCAGTCAGCACACTGTGCAGATGGGCCTGCCTGTGTGCTGCCAGCCAACAGATTCCTGTGTTCTCTGAACTCAGGGCCTCAGTAGTTGCGGCTACCTTGAGACAGAAGTTGGACTGGCAATCAGGTCACTGAAGGCTCTGTGCTCAGGGAAGCAGGCCTATTGGGTTTTTCTCTGGTTAAACAAGCACCTATTTGGGAAGATCTGGGAACTCAATCTGATCCCACTTGAAAGCTTTGGTTTGGAGGAATTTTCATGGAAAAGGGAGGAGAGGGAGAAAGGGCAATCTGACTCTTGGAGCATTTTAGGGAGTCCCTTTGATGCTTAGAGGAAAAGTTGGTCTGACAATGTTCCCCTCTGTAAGAGTATACTCCATGAGAAACTCATAGGGTGGTGTTGCATGGTGGGAATTAGGTGCCCTCCAAACAGCGCTTGGCATATACTGAACACCAAATCAATTGGCTCCTGGAGAAAGCATGGGCTGTGGGGAGAGGCTGCAGTGTTTCTGCACAGGCTTCTGCAGAAGGCCAGGCCAGCACCTTGAGCTTTACTACTTTGTGTAACGTGAGGACAAAAATGCCCACCCCCTCCTCAGGATGGTCACAGAGATTAATGCCTTCACTTTTTGATAACAGCTGGTATGTGGAGAGGCCTTAGGAAATGTGATCTGCTTTTTCTCTCGTCTTAACCTTGCTGGGGTCTATGTACCCTAAAAGCTAGTTAAGAGGACTTCTGTGTCAATCTCAGCGAGTAGGAATCGAAGGCAAAGATATTAATCAGCTATCAACATTCAAACAGATACAGATAGCCCTTTGGTTGTTAGCTTCCTAAAAGCATACCCTATTAAATTTAGGTCTAACTGGGTAAACTTCTCAAAACATACCCACAAACCTTCACAGAAAAACAAATATGGTGAAAGGAAGATAGGAGGAAGTAATTAAAATCTGCTACATAACTCCATGTAAAACAACTAACTACTTTAAAATGTGGATGGAAAATTTTTTTAAATGCATATGGCAAATAGACAAGCAATTAGCCTATTTAATGCCTAGCATTCAATGCCTGCAATTTACCCACCAGGGATCGTCAATACTTTCCAATGTGGTCCCTCAGAAGCCTCAAGAGAATCAGCACCTTGAGCCCCACACTTCTGCCCAGGCCTAACATCCAGATTGGCTGCATTTGTTAAAACGCCAGTGTGTCTTAGAGAAGCCAAAATGCAGTTCTTATTTGATCCTTTGATCAAGGAGTTCAAGCCTGAAATGAAATCATAGCTGTAAAGAGATTTCTTAAGCTATAAAAACTACACACAGAAGTAATTGGTGTAGCATCATTAAGATACAGTACTGGCTGTTAGTAAGTTCAATCTAAGATGGGTAGAAGTATGAAGAGATCAGTGAGAGAGAGAAAGAGAGGAGCCAGTAACTTTAGGCAATGGGATAGCCAAACTTGTCTGGGTTTCATCAGCTTCTGCTCAGCCAGTGGGGAGCTAAAAGGAAACAGAAGTGTGATATTGGAAATAAACATCTAATCCAACATTCAGCCACAGACCCTGGGTGCAGGTAATCTGTCATCCCCAGTGCTCAAGAGCTAGAGTCCAACTCAAAAGCATCTTCTGGAGAGAAGGCAACCAGCATATAGCTGGGGCAAAGAGCCTGCTTGCTACCCATTCCAGTTGCCTTCAAGGGAAATTTCCTGCTCTGTATTCAGATACTTGGGGCAATTCCCCTGACTGTTAGCTTAGAGGCTAGTCTACTCAATACCCAGGCTCTGATGTCTGGATTTAAAGCTGGGCAGAAAGTGCTCAAAAGGCTCTGAAAGAATAGAGTAGAAAGGCCACAACTGGAGTCTGAAGACCTGGGGTAAGGTCTTGATTCTACTACAAACCAGCTAGGTGTTTTAGGTGTACCCCCAGACTCTTTTTCCTTGTCACAAAATGGGACTAACAGAGGTCCAGTGGCATCCCAGAGATACAGAGCTCAGATGAGCTTCTGGGTGGGAGGTACTGTGTGTGTGTGTGTGTGGACAGGAAGAGACTATGACTAGGCCAACTTGGAAGTATCCCCATGGAGTAGTACCCAGGCTACTGAAGACCTCAAGTGTCAAATGGCACAAGACAAGTACTCAGGGCCCTCTGAACCAAAAGGCTGAGAGGGATAGCAGGGTCCTGGGGAAAGACATAGGCAGAGACCTAGACGAATTTCTTCCCTCTGGTAGATTCTTGACTGCTTATCTTATGGGCTGTAGGCACCCACCTAGAAGAGCTTTCCATAGCATTTCCCACAGTGGATGGTGTCTCGGTGAATGAAGATCTGATCCAGGAGGTCACCCATTGGTTTATTGCAGATGCCACACTGAAAGAGAAAGTCAGGTGGCTGTCAGTACTCAAAGCAGGAAGGGGGCAGGCAGATGCTGTGAGCCCATAGCACAGCCTGAACTTCCAAGAAGACAATAAAACAAGGCAAGAAAAACAACCTAGTGTGGTGGCTCATGCCTATAAGCCTAGTTACTCCAGAGGCGGGGATCTGAAGCATTATGGTTCAGGTCTAGCCTAGGCAGAAAGTTAATGAGACCACATCGTAATCAGGCGGTACACGTCTGTGATCCCAGCTGTGTGGTTGGCTCAGGTATGAGGAGCATGGTCTTAGGCTGGACCTGAGCAAACACATAAGACCCTACTGACAAAAATAACTAAAGAAAAAAAGGTCTGGAATTATGGCTGAAGGGGTAGAGTGCCTGCCTATCAAACAAAAGGCCCTGAGCACAAACCCAAGTACAGACACCAGGGGAAGGAGAGAAGCAAAACTCAACTTCAAACATAAGACAAAAACAGGGTTGGGAAGTAGCTTATAAATACAGTGCTCGCCTAACATTTAAGGGCCTGCAACAAAGCCCCAGCAAAACCAAACAAACATACAAGAACAATTTTTTAAAAAATGAAAGGGCCCCCCCCCCCTCAACCACAAAACCCTAGATGGCACTAGGACCATACAATGGTCAGGAGCCTACATTTTTTAATTCAGTCAGTGTGAGCCTGGACTCAGCTACTTATTAGCTTGGCAAGGTTGGGCAAGTTCCTCACACTGTCTACCCTCCAAAAATCCTCCAAGCATGTCAGACTTTTTTTGCCACTTTTCTGCCACAACCACAACTTGTGCACACCTTATATGAGTCCAAAGCGATGTGAAATCCTCGCCTGGCTGTCCACTTTCTCTGTGCCTGCCAGATGACTGCTTTCTGCCTACATTGATAGATCTGGCTAAGACCCAGGCAGCAGTTGTCTTTTTCTGTGTGTGGCACCCTGAACAAAGCCCAGCGTGCGCTTTCACTGCCAACTCCAGACCAGCGTCCCTCACAGGTCTTCTTGGGGCTCCTGCCCACTCAGCACCTGTCTTCTCAGATTCCTGTAAGCATGCTGTGCTCCACATGAGTGTCCATCATTAAGTCCATTACTTAAAGTCTACAGAATCTTCTAGGACTTTCATGGATGTCCACAAAGCAGAAAAACAATGTGGTCTGTGGCAATCCAGAAAACCGGAGCAACTACAGAATTCCTCAATCTCTCACCACCTGATGTGGGACCCTCCCCGTGTGTGACTCCCATGGTTGGCCAAGCCTTCAACGAGGTCATTCCACACTTGCTCTCTCTATTTCCACATGTTCTATTATCTTTTGATCTCACCCAACACACACACACACACACACACACACACACACACACACACACACACACACACACACACACACACACACACACACGGTGACCCTTAGCCCTGAACGTTGCAGAATTCAATGGCTAACTCAGGCTTTGTGTGATTTGATCTCTTAGTGATCATTTATGCAGTGACCACTGGAGCCATCTTGAGAAACTGTATCACCTGTATAAGACCTTAGATGCCCCACACTCATCAGCAAGCCTCCTGGTCTATTTGCCTGGCCACATAGATGAGCCTAGCATATCAAGGGAGCTCCCATATCCCTGTCTTAATACCTTAAACCCTCTCTATAAGCCTCTCTCTCCACAGAAAACCTAATTCCTCCTCTCTCAGGGACGATCTGGGAAGGACCTTGATTACCTGACAACTGAAAGATGGGTTCCTTGCAGACATCTGTAACTCCCTATATACAGGGACAAAAGCATGAAACTCCTTCCACCCCCTATCTTTCACAGCCCCTCTTTGGATTCTTTTCCATCTGTGCACAACAATGCTTCATTTGGAACCAAATCAATCCACAGGACCAGTCGCAAACCTATCCCTCATTGCCCACACACCAAGTACAAGGACACGTGCAAGCCAAGACACGCAAATAGATTTTTACTCCTATGTTCACCCATAAAAGCTCTAACATAAACACTTCCTAACAGTTATTGACATCTTTATTGGGCGGATGGGAACTTTTCCTACCACCTTTGAAAAGGCATCGAAAGTGGCTAAAGTTTTACTGCAGTCTGTCATTCCTAGGTTAGGTTAGGTTGCAAAGTGGCAATGGACCAATCTTCACTTCTCAAATCCCTCAACAGGTGGCGCAAGCCTTAAGGATCCTATGTTTGGCACCCTTGGGAAAGATGTAAAAAGGCCCATTCCTCTCTCAAAAGGCAGTTACTAATCAGTCTGTCAATGGAACTCCATCAGAGCTTTATTGAATGTCTTCCTTTTGCTACGCTCTGATACCACATCACCCCCAGAGCTGCTCGTTTCCTCAGTCCTCCCCTCCCCCTACTTACATCTTAGCTGAATTCATCTGGTCACATGGACTCCAGTTCTGTCCTTTCCCTAGAACCCAAACTTAAGCTTTTTTTTTTTTTTGTCGGTCATGAGGTTTGAACTCTGGGCTTGGGCGCTGTCCCTCAGCTCTTCAACTCAAGGCCAGTGCTCTACCACTTGAGCTGCAGTGCCACTGCCAGTTTTCTGGTGGTTTATTAGAGATAAGGGTCTCGCAGACTTTCCTGCCCGGGCTGGCTTTGAACTGCGATCCTGAGATCTCAGCCTCCTGAGCAGCTAGGATGACAGGTGTGAGCCACCAGCACCCAGCCAAACATGCATTTTTAATTGCTTATGTTACCTCTCTATTGGCATCTTCAGTGTCACCTATGTCCACCCTTACTCTTGAATTCATGTCCAAACCTGTACCCCTTTAGTCCCTCGCTCATGGGAAAGGAAAGGACCATTCTTTCACTCAGTGTCTTTACATCCCAAATCTTGGCTTCTGTCAGCGTCTGGAACCCTACAGCCTGTCAGCTCTATTATCCATCCAGAGCCCCCTCGCCATTACTATCCTTTGAGTCAAGTGACCATTCTCTCCCTGCCTTGCAGCCTCCCTTGGAAGACAGGGATCCTTGAAAAAGCACCAATCACATTTCATCACTTCACAACTAACCCTCTAGAATGTTCCAATTGCATGTAGAATGAAATGCAAAGTCTTTCCTCTAAAGCCTACACAGTGCAGCTTCCAGCTACCTCCAGAATCTTCTTTTTTTCTTTTTTTTTCTTTTTGTTTTTGTTGGTCGTGGGGCTTGAACTCTTGGCCTGGCTGCTGTCCCTGAGCTCTTCAACTCAAGGCTAGTGCTCTACCACTTGAGCACAGCGTCACTTCTGGTTTTCTGAGTGGTTAATTGGAGATTAGAGTCTCATGGACTTTCCTGCCTGGGCTGGCTTTGAACTGTGATTTTCAGATCTCGGCCTCCTGAGTAGCTAGGATTACAGGCGTGAGCCAGCGGAGACCGGCTCAGTTCCTCCTTTCTTCTTATTCTCCCCCTCACACTTGCCACACTAGCAATGCCAGCTAGCACCCTCCAGGCTTCCACCTTAGGACCTTTATATTTAGTGCCCCTTTGTTGAGAAGAAGACCACTTTTGTCTCTCCTATTGGTACTAGCCATGTGCAGTTACCAATTCCCCTTCACTTCCTCAGTCCTGCAGCACATGTAAGACAGTTCACACTTGCTCACAGACAGCAAACTGCCTTCACATCCTCTAGAACCCGTGCCACTCTTATGCTCTGTGTGATGTCACCAGCACCATTCTTCCATCTTACCTTAAAACAATATTCATGGCAGCAGATGCCAAGATGTTCTAGGGTAATCTTTGGACAGTCTCGGATCTCCCGGCTGCAGTAAGTGCAGATCCCTCCAGTTGTTCTGTAAGAAGAAAAACAAGAAGCCAGTGATAAAGCTGTCTTTTAGGTTTCTGACATGCTTCAACAAGACCTACTGCCTTGATGTAGCCAGGCCTAGAGCTCCCCTCAGCATATCCAGCCTGCTCCTTATTTCTGTGGTGCACAATTGGGAGCGTAGCCCTGGGTCCTAGGTCTAACCCATTCTCCACTAGCCTTGTGTGACGGCCCTTCTCCATGTTATGCCTGGGACTGCAGAACCCTGCCCTTCTGCTTCTGTATTCTTAGGCTGACCCCGCCATTAGTCTGCTTGGACAACCTGCTTTAATCACGTGAATGTTGAAGATACTGCCTTTTGGGGTAATTCACAACCGTGTTCCAGGAGCTCTGGTTTGTTTCTTTTTTGTTTTATGTGCTAGTACTGAGGCCTGATCTCAGGGCCTCACACCCTCCCTTGGCTATTTTTGCTCATGGCTCATGCTCTATCACTTGAGCCATACCTGCAGCTCTAACTAACTGGAAATTAGAATCTCACTGATTTGTCTACCTGGACTGGCTTGGAACTGTGATCCTCAGATATCAGCCTCCTGAGTACCTTGGACTGTACCTGGCACTGGTTAAGGGAGTTGGTTTGTTGGTGCTTAATTGAAGATGATAGTGTCACAGACTTTCTTGCCCCAACTGGCTTCAAACCAGGATCCTCAGATGTCAGTCTCCTGAGTAGCTATGACTATCGGTGTGAGCCACTGGTGCCTGGTAGATCCACCTTTTTGTTCATAACAGTCACCTGTGCTTTTCCTCTTCACATAAGATGTGCCAAAAGCTCCAGTTTGCTCTGCTCCTCCACGCTAAAATCATGGGTGCTCTCTTCTAGAGATGTATACCTCCTTCTCACTGGACCCAGGGAAGTGCTAGCAGCCTGGCTTCCTCAGGTCCTGCCAGAGCCCAGCATTATCATGGGTATGCTGCATTCAGCCATCCAGCTTGCTGTTGGCCAGAGCTCTTTGTAGGTATCAGTGTTGCAAGAGAGCCCTGCCTTAGCAAGAGGAATCCAGTGCATTACCCCTTCTATCTCACTCAGTCTTCCTTCGCACGTGCACATGTCTGTGCACCTGACACTGATGCCTGAGGTTGTCCTTGGAGAATCTCCTTCTTTCCTCTAAACTCAGCAATTAACCAGAAATGTTTGATTCTGGATTAACATCTGTACCACAAGGAGGGGGAGCTCTAGGCTATCTGACCGGCCTCACTCCATTTAACCCTAATCAATTGATTCATTCCTATGTTTTTAACCACTTGCTCTCCTCTGGTTGGAGTGTGTGCCCAAGGGTTCATGTGCTGAAAGCTTGGTCTTCAGTATGGTAGTGGGACATGCAGTGGGATCTTTAAGAGTTAGGCCTCAGGGATATAATTAGGTCATTGAAAGAGAGCAATGTGGATCTTTCATAGTTAGGTCAGTTCCCCAAAAAAAGGCTCCTGTGATGCCACGAGGCCTCTCACCCTAGCCAAACACGTTAGTGTCATGTTCTTGAGCTTCCACTGCTGTCAGCTAAAGAAGCCTCTCTTCTTTAGAAACTTCTCTGCCTCAGGCATTTGTGATAGCAACAGGTAACAGACTAGTACATTGCCTTTTGTGCTAAGAATTCACCTGGTGATGTGGTTTACTAAGTGATATGTGGTTGCCCAGGATTTAGGTGTTTGGCTCTTTCTTCAGCCATCCTGGAGAGGATTTCTATGGCCTTGTTCATTCATCTGCTCCTCTGACTATTCTGTTATGGAGAGGAAAGACTCAAAAGATTCTTTTCTTTTCTTTTTCCGGTGGTGGGACTTGAACTCTGGGCCTGGGCACTGTCTGTAAGCTCTTCAACTCAAGGCTAGCGTTCTACCACTTGAGCTACAGCACCACTTCCAGTTTTATGGTGGTTTATTGGAGATAAGAGTCTCAAGGACTTTCCTTCCCGGGCTGGCTTTAAACTGCAATCCTCAGATCTCAGCCCCCTGAGTATTTAGGATTACAGGCGTGAGCCACCAGCACCTGGTAGGTTCTTTTCAACTCTTTCTTCCTTCCATTTTTTCCAAATCTAGCCATGGTTTTGGAACATCCTCACAGCACTTTAGATCTAGCAGTGAATGAGAAGGCATTAGGACTAGTTAGGCAGTAGGATTTAGCTATGGCTCTGCCACCAACTCCCTGCGTAACTTACTCTTCTTTTCTTTACTGTAACCAGAATGGATCCAATTTCAAATGTTCTTTTCCCTCTTATTCCAAGAATTTAAAAGTAGGAATTTTTTGTTATCAAAATCATCCTAAGATTGTGCTATCATCTGGCAGTGCCTTTCATGACTGGTGAGTGAGGAGTAGCATGCCCTTTATTCAATTCAATGACTCTATAACCTTGTGCATTCTTAGTTTTGTAGTTTTGACTTCTGATTAAATGTGCAATAGTGGCTCATTAGTTTCTGATCTGAACTGCCTCTCCTGAGGAAGTGACCCCTGGGTTTTCAGACACTACCACTTCCCTTCTTGGTTGCCTGATGTGTCTATTTCTTTGCTTTGAATTGGGTTCACAGGCTTGAGTTGCCACAAGAGTGATATCCTGAGGAAAGTGGCACCACCCTACATAGTGTATTACACTGTGTGACAGATGTTCTAACAGATCAGAAATCACAAAGAAGCTGACTAAAGCAAACAAATACAGTGCAGAGATATTCTTCACTGTCTTTTGTATGTGGAACTGCAAGCTCCTTGGTCAGAAAGTAGACGTACCTCTCAGAGTATGGAGTGCTGTTGTATGGGAGCTTCTTCTCCATATCAAGCGAGTCCTCGGCACTGCTGACACTGGAAGCATGATGGAGAGCAAAAGATGGGAGTCAGATCATAAACACCATCATGAGCAGGGGACACTTCTCTCATGAACTCATGGCCTCAAGCTGAGACATAACTACACTGACAGGCATCACTCATAATCCTAAATGGCACTTGGTACCATAAGAGGCATAATGATACCAAGGAGGCTTAATTATCTGGATGAAGAACCCTTTCATGGGGATAAACAAGATCCCTTGGGAAGGGAGATGACATGGCTTCTTGGATACAAGAAGACCTTCAGTTCTACTGACCAATAGAAAAAGACTAGAGCTTTTCCATTCATGTATGTGTCTGGATTACACTGTGAGTTACCTGGAGCCCACTAACAGCAGAAAGCAGACACTATTTCTGGGAAAGGCAAGAGAAGTGTACAGCATGACATCTCTGCTTCCTTTATATGGTAGGATTAGGCATGAGGTGGAACTTTTCATTTCCATGTTTTCATTTTCTTTTCTTTTTTTTGTCAGTTGTGGGGCTTGAACTCTGGGCCTGGGTGGTATCTCTGAGCTCTTCAGCTCAAAGGCAAGCGCTCTACCACTTGAGTCACAGTGCCACTTCCGGTTTTCTAGTGATTAATCAGGCTGGCTTTGAATCATAATCCTCAGATCTCAGCCTCCTGAGTAGCTAGGATTACAGGCGTGAGCCACCAACACCCAGCTTTCATTTTCAATAGTACTGTTTGTTTTTATTTAATAATAAAAACTAATAGCTTGCAAATATTTTCCGGGAAAACAGCTGGTTAGCTACATACCTCAAAACCCCCTAATGGAGCTGCCATTTCCTTGGGTGCCCATGAGGTATTGAGGAATTGCTAGTCAGAGACCAGTCAACCTGCCTATAGTGCAACCCTGAATAAAAGATGAGTTGACTTTTCAGCCTTGGACCTGATTTCTTGTCAGCATGAAGTTTCTCTAAGCTTCTTGAAAGGAAAGCAAAAAGGGAAAGCAGGAGACTACTACACAGTACTCGCTGCCTGCTAAGGAAAAAGTCTGAGAGTTTTCACTAGATATAACATTGTAATTAAATGTTTAATTCAATTTTAAAATAAATTTAATTGTCAAGGATTGAAGAATGAGCCAGGTACTGGTGGTTCACATTTGTAATCCTAGGTACTCAGGAGGCTGGGATCTGAGGGTCATGGTTTGAAGGCAGCCCAGAAAAATCCATGAGACTCATCTCCAATTAACCAGCAAAAATGGACTTGTGGCTTGTTCAGTAGATCATTAGCCTTGAGTGAAAAAGCCAAGCAAGAGTGCATGGCCCCTCAGTTCAAGCCTTAGTACCAACACTCAGAAAAGAGTCCATTAATGAAATTTAACAGACTGATAGTGAAAAAGAAGAAAATGGGACATGATTCAGTGAAGGAAGGGCAGAGACGGCACCTACAGCTATGCTGCAAGCTTCATACACGTCACTTCTTGTCTTAGACCCTCCTTGAAGAAGGCTACAGAGACAGAACACAGACAAGTGTGTGGGCCAGGGCTGGAGGTAGCAGGGGGTCTGTTAAAGGTTCAACAGGTTCTTTGTTGGGGGAAAGTAACAATCCTATTCTGGAATGGGATAGTGACAGTTGCATACTTCTGTGAATATACCCAAACCCACTGGATTATATACTTGAAGGGCACATTCCAACTCAGAAAGCATCTTTATCTAAAATAAACCAAGCAGTGGGAGGTCATCTGAGACTTGGAACTTCACGCTGCTGCTCATGCTGATCAATCATTCCAGCCATAGTGAAAGCCAGTGTAGAAGACTTCCAGAAGCCCAGGATGCTCATCTCTGGTTACTAAAATCTTCACCCCTAGCTAAGCACTGGTGTCTCACGCCTATAATCCTAGCTACCCAGGAAGCTGAGACCTGAGGATCATGATTTGAAACCAGCCTATGCAGGAAAGTCTGTGACAGTCTCATTTGCAATTAACTACCAAAAATCCACAAGTGGAGCTATGGCTCAAGTGTTAGAGTGCTACCCTAGAACAAAAGAAGCTCAAAGACAGCATCGAGGCCCTGAGTTTAAGCCCTAGGACCAACCAGCACATACAAAAACATCCTCAGCCCTGAAGTGATATCACATTCTGTGAGGCCCCTGGTACCCTGCCTCCATGTGGGCAGGTGGGAGAACACTGAGGTGACATGGAGATGGCCTTCTATGTGCCCTCAGAAAGCACGGAGACACTGAAAAGATGACTAGTGAAAAGTACATACACATCAAGTACTAGTCATGTGCTCTCAACTGACGCAGCCTGGTGAGGAAGAACATGGGGCCAGAGACAAGAGTCCTGTGATCTGGAACAGGATGGACTCAATGAGATAGCCCTAAGGGCCCCACCATCTCTGCAACAAAAGAGAGTGGCAAAGTGCTGGGTGCCACTGGCTCATGCCTGTCATCCTAGCTACTCAGGAGGGTGAGATCTGAGGGTCATGGTTCAAAGCCAACCCGGGCAGGAGAGTCCGTGAGACTTATCTCCAATAAACCACTCAGAAAACCAGAAGTGGCACTGTGACTTAAGTGGTAGAGTGCTAGCCTTGAGCGGAAGAGCTGAGGGACAGCACCCAGGCCCAGAGTTCAAGCCCCATTACTGACAAAAGAAAGAAAGAAAGTGACAAAGACAAACAGAAAAGAGAGGCACTGGGTACGGGACATAGAATGATCTAACTGTTAGGCGAAAAGTCAAAGACACCAATTATGCAGCACATCTAAAAAATACAGAAAGTCATGTCACTGGCAAATCATATGACTTGTCCTTTCAACAATAAGATTACCCAGAAGCTACTTAGAGCTGAGCCCTGGAAAAGGTAATCAGATACAGGAATGAGAGCAACACAAGGCCTGGCAGAAGGCCATGACAAGGAAGGATCTGGAACACGCTCTTACCTGCCATACCGTGGAGATGCTGGCTTCCCAGAAGACACCTCACTAGCGTTCATGTACTCCTTCACAAACACAATGCCTTTGCTGAAGAAGCACAACAAAACAGAAGGAAATATACTAGAACATTCCAAAGGACTGAATATAGCCCAAGGAGGGATCACTACCCCTAGCCATGTTTGAACCAGAAGTGTAGAAGCTGACAGGAAGGTGCTGGTGGCTTGTATATACCAGCCTCCACGAGCAACAGACAAAGCTACTGACACCACTGTGGATGGGCAAAAAGCTCCGCCTGTAGGTTGTGTTTGGACCGAGAGAGGATCCTGTAACCTTCCTCCATGCTGACCTCAATGCCAGCACCCTCTTGCTAGATTCCTGTACTTCCCACCAGTGCCTTTCTACTGCTCAACCAGAATATTGTTCTACTCTCAATTGTTTTCCATTCCAGCCCTTTCTATCTGGTACCTTCCCTCAAGGCCCTCAGCTCTTGTACCATTTCCATGTCAAATCTAAGCCCTCTCTCCTTCTTGAAGGTCCCCAGGCCCAGAAGTCCCCTTATCCCACACAGGCCTCTGGGAACACTGGGAACAAGGTTCTGCATGATGCTGGGTTCAGTATGGCCCACACTTAGCCCTCCATTTTCACATTGTATGTTGCAGCCGACTGCCAGATGTTAGCATGGGGCCCTCTAGTCACCTCCTGAGCACACACGACTTCTCTCAGCAGACTCCCTGCAATGCCCTCCCTTCCTGCATGCTAAGAGGTAGCCAGAGGCGCAGGTGAGGCCGTGGGTGGATGAATGAGACACACATAGGCATGTTTCATGGGCATGCTAGCAAGGTCGCATGGGTGGCGGAGACCTGGTGCTGGTTGCATCCATTGATGCCACGCACACACCATCTCAGCTTCATACAAGGATAGGGAAAGGGGATAGAGAACCAAATGCAGGCCTGCAAACAGGTCAAGGGTGCTAGTAAATATACTACGGGGACTAAAACAGAACTGTGTCAACCCATTGTGGGAGGCATTACAAGGGAGGAACAGGAAATGAGAGCTGAGTCTTTTGCTTCCTAGGAGAACACAGAAAGCTGCCACCATGCGCCCAGAAAACCCCTTCTGCGATGGCAGGTCTCCCTTCTTACGTTGTTGGGCTGGATTCCAATTCACTTGAGGAGCCCGGAATATAAATGTGAGGTTGCTCGGAAGTGGCCGTGACAGTCACCGTGACCATGCAGCTTGATGGACTTTTCACCCTGAAAGAAATGGAGGACGGGCTTGGCTTGGGACACAGGCCGGGCATCGCCTTGATGCCGAGTTTTCTAGCCTGATGTCAAGACTGTTACTTCAATGGATTTTAAAGAATAACAGTATTTCTTATAACTTTTTTTGGGGGGGGGGTCCGGTCGTGGGGCCCAAACTCTGGGCCTGGGCGCTGTCCCTCAGCTCTTCAGCTCAAGGCTAGCGCTCTACCACTTGAGCCACAGCACCACTTCCGGCTTTTTTCTTTTTACTTATGTGGTGCTGAGGAATCGAACCCAGGGCCTCATGCATGCAAGGCAAGTGCTATACCACTGAGCCACCTTCCCAGCGAAAAACAGTATTTCTTAAACCATGCCTACAACTCACTAATCATTTGCTACTAGATAGATATTGATATATGCATTTCCTTCCTTCCCATTTTTATTACCACAAAATAATTGTACAAAGGAGTTTTACTGTCATCTTTACATACATGAATACAATGTCCTTTGAGCTAAATTCACCCCCCTCTATTACTCTTTGTTAACCCTCTCCCTCCTCAGCTTTTAGTGAACTTCACTGTACTATTTTCATGTATGCAATAATACACTAGATCATAGCCCATAACTTTCTCCTTTCTCCATCCTTTCTCCCACAGTCCTTCCCTTTACAATCATGTCATGTGCTCAGAGGTCAGCAAATGAACGTGTCGCTTTATGGAACAGAAAAGCAGCTGGACTGCGTGGAGACATAGCCCAACTCACAGCTTGACTCGGCACTGCGAGACCCCAATCTTCCAACCTTACTGCAGCTCAGGTCCCGGACCTCTGAGAATAACTTGTGGGGATGCTAACGATGTGACAGTGAGGACAGAGAAGGGAAGACACAGAGCAACTTGCCTCCTAGTCAGGCAGACATTCCCTCTCCCGGACCTGCAGACAAGTGTGCAGAATACAAGGCCAAGGCACAAAGCCAAATGAATGTAGATGTGGATAAGGACAAAAGTCAGATGCACAGCCTCCAGGAAGGCTCCTGCCAGACTCCATGCCACAGAGGGTTCCGGTCCTGGGATGCAACCTCCAAGGCCGCTCCCAGGTCTTTCTCTGCCCAAGTTCTAGTTGACCCACACTCTACCTTCTTGTGCCAAAGTCTGCACGATGCCTGATGTCATTCTAGACCTCCTGTCAGACACCACTGATCACCTTTTCCTTTGTGCTTCAGCCATGGGCCAGTGCTGGGCACACCCAGCCCTGCACTGACGTGGGCTTGTCTGCCACTCCTTCCTCACTGTGGATATGGCTCTTGCACCTGGCCCAGCTCTGGAGCATCACTTCCTTGCCAGGGAATCCAGTGCCTGACAGTCCAAATGCTTTCAGAATGAGCAGTCATGACCTGGTACCTGCCTAGCTCTTCTTCATCCCAGTCTCAAGGTGAGTCGTATGCAACCAAACCCCCAGCCACACTGATTGGCCTGCAGTTCCCCAAGAGAGCTGGCTTTAGAGATAACACCTAAGGACCTGCCTGTCTACCGCACATTGTGTATGCTGTGTCTACTCCTGTAGCACCCCATGAAGCAGGGAAATGGAGAAGAGACTGGATGGGAGGGGAGACCCCACAGGAACTTGGACACACAGGTGTATGTGGGGAGGGGAGAAATAAAGTGCAAAAGCCAAGAATAAGAAGAGAATTTCCTATAATAAGAAGAGGAAGGCCAGGCGCCGGTGGCTCCCACCTATAATCCTAGTTACTCAAGAGGCTGAGATCTGAGGATTGCAGTTAAAAGCCAGCCTGGTCCGGAAAGTCCGTGACACTCTTATCTCCATTAAACCACCAGAAAACTGGAAGTGACGCTGTGGCTCAAGTGGTAGAGCGCTAGCCTTGAGCTGAAGAGCTGAGGGACAGCGCCCAGGCCCAGAGTTCAAGCCTCAGTACCCACAAAAAAAAAAAAAGAGGATGAACTTTGTCTAGCTGAACTTTGTCTGGCTGAATAGTTTGAACGTGTGGCAGGCATCCTGTGATCCATGTCCAGAAGAATGAGCAGACAGCTGAACTGAAGGGATATGGTTCAAAAAGCAATCCCAGGGCAACTGCTCAGCACTGTAACCAGAGCTGCAGGAGCTCCCCCCCCCTACACACACACACACACACACACACACACACACACACACACACACACACACACACACACACACACACACACTGCTGTCCATCCCTTGGAGGAATTATCCCACTTTCCTTTCAACAGCATCCTCTCCCTAGCCTAGGACCTAGCTCCTGTCCTGTTCCCCTCACTGTCTCCCGTTCAGCCATATGGCTCATGGTTTAGGTGCCCCCATCCCTCTCTAATTTGCCCAAGTTGCTTCTTCCCAGGTTATTTACAGGCAAGCCCTTACAGCTAAACTGCTTCATCAGCACAAGAGCTTTCCCTGACCATCCTGAGCCCCTTCCTGTCAGAGCACGATTTTTCCTTTCTTGGCTTACTGGGGTAAAGCGGCAGGACAGGATGCATATCACTGTGACTAATAACGCAGGTGCTGGGCTGACTGTCTGGATTCTAATCTCTTTTAGGCCATTTCTTGGAACTGAGAGGCACGGAACCACCAGAGAGGTGAGAGCAAGGGCATGGATCAACATCAGGTGAGAGGGCAGGAGAACAGCTTCGAAGCAGAAGGACTGAGGGAATCCTGAGGAGTGAAGTCCTCCCATGGGCCAAAAGCCTCTACTCTACAACCTGCTGCGGCAGGAGCCAAAGGTGCCTTCCCACGAACCAAAGCTGGATGTGGGGGCCAGAAAGCTCCACCACAGAGACAGAGGTGAAGGTCACCTTGCAGGACTGGGGAGAATGTTATCAAATTATGACATTTTCTCCAGCCCTCTATGTCTTATAATATGTGAGGATCCATCCAGAGACCACACTGTATATGATCCAACAAGTCCAACTTTCCTTAGATACCCTCTCCACCCCCAGGAGCCTTAACCAACTGATATAAACTCCTGAAGAACCTAGAACTGAAGCTTTCTACTGCATCTGAATTCCCCAGGTTCTACCTCACAGATGTTTTTTGTTTGTTTTTGTTGTTTGTTTTCGGACTAGTACGTGGCCTCAAATCTTGATCCTCAGATCTCAGCTCCCTAAATAGCCAGGGTGACAAGTGTGAGTCACCAGCACACAGCTTTTCCTTAGCACAGTTTTTCCTCATAGTTTTACAGATAAGAATTCACAGAACGTTGAAGGCCATTGTACAGCCTTACCCTAGACTGCTTCGAGATCATTTTTGGTGTGAAAAAAATATTCTACAAGCTTCCTAGGTTGTCATACTGAGAACACAGTGATTTGCTGTGGCCGGGCATTGCTCTACTGAGACCAGGAGATCGAGATGCTTGCAGGAAAGCACATGAAGCAGTTGGCACTGTCCGTTCCCTTCTGCCCTGCTCCTCCTTGGTCTTTGGCTTCTGTCATGGCCCTTGTTTCCTCGCACTAGCACTTCACAGCCTCTTCAAACTACTGTGGAAGTGAGGTCTTGTGGCATTCTTTCCTTCAGGCACAGGAGCACATGCCTTCCCTTGGGACCTCCCAACTCCATGAATGTCGGAAGTCCCCTGACCCACATTGACAGCCCCTAACTGGCTGTTAGCCTTGGCCTAAGAGATGTCACACTACGGCTCCACGTGAAAGCTGTGCAGAACTATTGTGAGGAGTATATCCTGACTTGTTTGCTTTTGGTCTGTCTCTGCCTCCATTCAGAGAGTAATAGGCTCCGTGTGTGTGTGTGTGTGTGTGTGTATGTGTGTGGCCCCTGACCAAACCCCTCAGCTCCATCTGGCAGATGCCCAAGGCAGCTAGAACCTCACCTGCTGCTGCAGCTCTGCACTTCGACGCACTGCTCCGGACTGCTGAGGCTGCTCTGCGGCTCCAAGGCGCTGGGATCTTCCGGTTGCTCAGCGAGTGCGGCTGCGCCTTCCCTGACAGCTCCTGGGGCTCCAGATCTCTCTGGCGAGGCCTCACTGATCTTGGGGCCCACACTCTTCACCTCATAACCGGCGGAGATCCTGAGAGAGAGAGCGCACGATTGGAGGGAGGGTGGAAGTAGCCCTTGTGAGCTCCGGGCACACTAGCTGTCACAGGCACAGAGGGGCAGCGGCAGAAAGGAGCCAGGCACGCCCTGCACCATAGAAGCCTGGGAATCGCTTCTTCCAGGGAACTCATCTCTGATACTGTCTTGTTATTGGAAAAGGCAAAGCACCCTTCATGAGCTCAGTGAGGTGTTAAAATTTTGAGGTTTTGACTGGAAACACACGATGCTGCCATCTTCCTTTACTCCAGTCCTTCTGAGTCTCCAACCTACCACACACTCTTAAAAACACTCAATGCATTCATCAAGATGCATCGTTCTCATAACCTGACTTAGGGGATCGTAACCTCTTTATACAACTACTTAATGATCATTTTTAAAAAAAAATATTCATAGTAGTTACAAGCTGTTCTGTTGAATTGCAGGGAGGGGCACAACGACCTAATCCATCCAGCCTTCCCCTCAGGCTCCCAGGTTAAGAAGCTTTGTGAGCCTAGTCAGGGCTGGGAATCTGAGACGGGGTTTCAGCCTAGGCTGCTGCGGAGGCTTCGATAAAGGAGAGAGCAGGTACAGCTCTTTAGTAGGCACTGGGATTGTCAAAAGGGCTGCGATATCCACTGAGAGGGGGATGGGGTGAGAACTGTTGCTAGGGCGGGGCCCAGAGGAGCGGCTGGAGCCATTTGTGATCCTCAGACGCCATCTACTGGCCATCTCGGGTACACCCTGAAGAGAAGCCCCGCAGCTGAGGACGATTATGATCTGGCAGCCATTTCACCTTCAGAACTATTGCATTTCCACAAACGCACTCCAGCCCCAGATCTCCGATGTGTGAAATGGCTGCGTGCGCAAGCGCACTCACGCTGGCTTAAGTGCCCATGATCTTTGTGCGCGCATGCGCAGGCATACATGTATTGCCTCCAGTTTGCATTTAGAGATGGCACACCCCACCCGCTCCTCGCCCCCATTCCATCCCAGCTTATTTATTGTGAAGTAGTGTAGCTCAAGGAAAGTAAATGGTGGTGGGAAACTAGAGCCAGAAATTGAGAGATAAACATTATGTTAATGAATGGCTTTATTAAAAAACAGTTTTTTTAAAAGCTTTGTACTCCCTCACTAAGCTATGACAGTTTTTTTTTTTTTTTTTAAGGCTTTCTGACCTTTCCTGCTTACGCTTACTCAACTAATTAGTAGTACACTCTGGAAAAAGAGCAAAGATATTGGAAAAAAAAAACCTTGGGGAGAAAAAAATGGTTAAACAACTCCATTGATCACAAACAATATACAAAGAAGAAAAAAACATTTATGTCAAGGGTAGACATTTGTCTTAAAAGAAGCACCTGATGAAACCCATACTTTGTTTAAAAGGATGATCAAGAAAAACAAACATTGATGTCACAGTTACCTAGATTTAGTAAACTGATGGCACCTGTTATCAATGGGTGCAATTGATTATATCAAAGCAGACACTTGGGTGCAGGTGGATCACACTTGTAATCCCAGTTGTTTGCCAGCTGAGGCAGAAAACTCTATGAAACTCTTATTTTCAATTAGCCTGCAAAAATCTGGAAGTGAAGCTGTGGCTCAAGTGGTAAAGCACCAGCCTTGAGTGACAAAGCTAAAGGATGGCCACCAAAGATCTAAGCTCAAGCCCCAGAACACCAAAACAACACCACTAACAACAACAACAAAACTAGGGTAACTGCAAGAATGACAGAATGTACCAGAACAAAGCAGAAGTTGAAACTGGAAGAAATTTAAGCTTAACCCCTGCCCATATTTCCACCATAAATATCCATGATGCTAGAGCAACCATTTAGTTTCTTAGTGGATGTGCTTACATCCATATCTGGGTTGTACACTATTCTTGGTCTGGCTTTAGAAATAAACTTTCTTGGTCTCTACTTTGATGGGTCCTAAAATTCTTCTTTGCAACATTTCAAATCTAGTCCCCAAGAGCCAAGGTAGAGGCCACCTCCCTTTTAGAGACTGACAATAGTCACAGCTATTATTATGAAGCAATAACATTTTCATCCTGTTTTTTGCAGATGAAAATCTAAGGGAGGGTCCATCCTCTTGCAGCTAATAAATGCCCGGATGGCCTTTGTCCTGTGTCATTCAGTAAACTGTTCCCCCCATCTTGTTTCAGCAGATCACATCTGGCGTCCTTGCCTAGGGAGGACGGAGGGGTAGAAGCTGGGATGTGTTGAGCACTTAAACGTCCTATTCAAAACCCGTGTTTCCCTCAACTTCACTCCCACATCCCTTCCCTCCTTAACCCATGACGTTAACATCCTTCTGTACATCACTTGGCCAACATCAATTCTCCTACTTGTCACCATAAACTAGCCATAGCAAACCACACATTAGCACAGGAGAATCTCCCTGTCTCCCGGATCCCTTTCGCCACCCAGAAAACTACGTCCTCCAGGTGTCCTGTCCCTTCAGCTAGCTTGGGTGTTCCTTTGATTTTCCCATGGGGTCTCTTCTCTTCATACTTTCAAGTCAGCCCTAACCCCTGTCAAGTGGTGTGGCCTTGTCTGTGTCCCCAGTGCTTAGAGCACTTGGCTGGACACACAAGAGTCACTAGGTACCATTTTGTTTAATTATGGCAGGGGCAGCTTATAAATTCCTGAGGGGGAAAAAATAAAAATCCCTATATTTTTCAAAGTCCGCAGTTTTTCGCTTACACCTTTCTTGGTCTACCTCTCATCTGTCTACAAAACAGAGCCTTCTTTCCTTCCCACAGCTCTGAGACTATGCTATGACGTCAGCAGCCCTCCTCCCTCACATTCGCTGTCTTCTATTTGAGCAGCAGACTCATCTTTTCTACTATGTTGCTTTCATATTTAGCAATCCCTCCCTGCCACCCGGGAGCTATGGATACCCGCATATCTCCCACACCTGCAATTGTGCGGCTAACATCTTAAGGAGCTGTTTGTTCGCACCAACTGTACCTTAGTTCACACTCCCTTTTCGATCCATTCCATCCTAACATCAGTCTCTCCTCCTCCCTAACCTGCTTCCCCAAGGCAGCGGCCATGGGACTGACGTCACCCCTGTCTAATTCTTCCATTTATCCGAAGTCTTCCTTCTCACACCCTCTCTACAGATCCTCTTCCTTACCTAGGCCTGTCAACATCATTGATTTTTACCTCTTTTTTTTCTTTTTGCCAATCCTGGGGTTTGAACCTAGGGCCTGGGTAATGTCCCTAAGCTTCTTTTTGATCAAGGCTAGTGCTCTACCACTTGAGCTCAAGATATTTTTGGTAGTTAATTTGAGATAGGAATCTCAGGGACTTCCTTGCCCTGGATGGTTTGTCCCTCAGTTCTTCAGCTCAAGGCTAGCGCTCTACCACTTGAGCCACAGCGCCACTTCCTGCTTTTTTCTTTTTGCTTATGTGGTGCTGAGGAATCGAACCCAGGGCCTCAGGCATGCAAGGCAAGCACTCTACCACTGAGCCACCTTCCCAGCCCTGGTTTCAAATTGTGATCCTTAGATCTCAGCCTCCTAAGTAGCTAGGATGATGGCCGTGAGCTACCAGCACTTGACTTTACCTCTTTTTATTTTGTATACTTGATTAGGGGTTGAGGAGGCCAATAATGCCCTTCTTTTTCTCTGTTTGTTGTTGTTGGTGGTGGTGGGGCTTGAACTCGGCTTGGGCGCTGTCGCTGTGCATTTCAGCTCAAGGCAAGCACTCTACCACTTGAGCCACAGCGCCACTTCTGGTTTTCTAGTGGTTAACTGGGAATAAGAGTCTCACGGACTTTCCTGCATTGGCTGGCTTTGAACTGCGATCCTCAGATCTTAGCCTCCTGAGTAGCTAGAATTAGAGGCATGGGCCACTGGCACCCGGCCTTTTTCTTTGTTTTTGAGACAAAGCAACAGCAGAAATGGGAATACATGTCTACTGGTAAAGGTTTGGATGTACAGCTCCCAAATCTCCCTCTATAACCCAAACCCCATGGGCAGGGGCTGGATGAGGGCTCTGGGTGCTGGTGAGGCGAAGCAGAGAATGTGGGCTTGGTATCCATTGGCTTCTGAAGACATGCTTCAAGCAACCTCACCTACTCCCTTCAATGACTCCCTCTATGTTGACAAGTGTCAGCTCTCAGCCAGTTAGCCACTCCGCTCCACACCCGTTTACTTAATGGTATACTGGACACTGTCATTCAGATTGCCTCCAGGCACTTCAGATTCATGCTGGTCCCCACACCTCACCATCCCTAGCTCTTCACTCTCTGCTAGTTGCTTTCACCCTCCACCTAGTGATCCAGCCTTGCCATCCGGGGAGCTGCCTTAACACCCCATTTTCCTCACTGTTACCCTCAGTCCGTTATCAATGGTGCAGCCTTATCACCCCTCTCTAGGCCTCCTCATGGACCTCGGACCTCATGCTGCCCTGTACCTCCCTAGCCTCAGCCTCCTACAACTTCTCTGTCCTGACACACTCCTGTATGGCAACTCTCAGCAGTCCTGGGGACCCTGTGCCCAGCGGAAGGTGCCTTCTCCCACGACAGGAGTGAACTTCCCTTCTCACGACGGCCACCGTGCTTCATGTTCCCTTTCCTCTACTGGAAAGCCACCTCCCGCATATCCATTTGGCATACAGTATCTTAGCCCTCCAATCCAGCTCCAATGTCACCTGCGAGGAACACCCTTCCTGACACCACGACCTATCCTCACCCTAGAGGAAAAAAAGAACCAATCACCTTCTTTGCAGCCCTTTTCCATACTCCTGATAGTGTGAACACTGAGCAAAGTATGAAGAATGACGAGACAGGGGACAGAGCTGTGCACGCAGTGTCATTGGATTGGGCCCCTGGAGGGCCTAGGGCCAAGGAGCTAAGGATGCATGGAGTATTCTTTTCTTTGTGTTGGCATTAGAGCTTGAAGTGAAGGCCTGGCCACTGTCCTTGAGCTTTGTGTTCAAGGCTAGTGCACTATCACTTTAACCACAACTCCAATTCTGACTTTGTGCTGGTTAATTGGATTTCCCTTCCTAGGGTAGATCTGAAGTTGGATCCTCACGTCTGAGCCTTCCGATTAGCTTAGGATTGCAGGTATAGCCACTGACACCCAGTGAGTACATTCGTAAATAACAAAAAGTTTGTAACAGGTGAACCTGGCCCTGAAATGCCCTTCTGCCTGACTGCTTATGCAAGAGTGGTACCAGGAGTCCCAGAACTCAGGGTGAATGCACATTTTCATTTTATTTCTGCAAGAGGAGTCTGCAAGAAGACCCCCAGGAGGACACACTTTCACTTCCACCATGTCCTGTCTTCTGGGCCAGGGAAGTGTTTCTATAGCAGGTGTGCAGCTCTCCACACTGATCTGCAGAAGTAGCTAATTCTTTTCTTTACTCCTAAAAGTCACAGCAATGGAGGCACAGCGGGTGGAAGAGTGCATGGCTGTGTGGAAAAAGGAGAGACTTGAAAATCTCCCACCCACACCAGTCACATCATGTTTTCTCTCCTCCCCCTGCACACATACCAACATGCCAATCAATCTCCTGTCACTTCTACCCCCACCTGCTCAGAGCAGGCTTGAGTCCTCTCACTGTGACCTTCTTCCACTGCCTTATCATGGTATCATCTTCCCTTCCACTCATCCCTGTCCCTTATAGTTTGTCATTAGTGATGTCTGTCACAGTTGCACAGTAGCACTGTGCATACAAAATTAGCCTACGTCCTACCTGCCATGCACATAAACTCTGGGAGGCACTGGGGATTCATGTGCGTACACCTGTGCTCACACAGCTCCACCTATTACAACCCTAGGCTTGCATCTCAAGCCATAAGCAGCCAGCCTAGCAGTGGCCGTTAGGATCCTGCTCACAAGGCAGCAGCACAAGCACCGGGTTGTGTAATATGTCAAGACGCTGGCATGGGAGTGGAGGAAGCAAGTTCTACCTGGGTTGTGGCCCCTGACAGAACCCCTGAGCTCCAGCTGGCAGATGCCCAGGGCAGCTAGAACCTCACCTGCTGCTGCAGCTCTGCACTTCGACGCACTGCTCCGAACTGCTGAGGCTGCTCTGCGGCTCCAAGGCACTGGGATCTTCTGGTTGCTCAGCGGGTACGGCTGTGTCTTCCCTGACAGCTCCTGGGGCTCCAGATCTCTCTGGCGAGGCCTCACTGATCTTGGGGCCCACACTCTTCACCTCATAACCGGTAGAGATCCTGAGAGAGAAGCACATGATTGGTGGAAGTGGCCCTTGCTCACCTGGCCACACTCACCATCAGCTCCTGCAGGCACAGAGGGGCTCATGTGTTTGAGGATGCAGCAGGGGGGAGCCAGGCACACTGCTCCTCATTTATCACGGAAAAAGCTAGCCTCTGTGGATAATAAACAAATGCACTTGAATCCAGCAGGGAGTGTCTTCTTCCCCAGCTGTCTTGGGCTGGAAATTCTTTGGGGTTCTTCCTGGCCTTACATCACACCTGTGCTGAATTCTCAAGACAAGCACCAGGGAAAGAAAGAGGAAATGCTGGTCATTCATCTTCCACTTGTGTAACCCTCACATCACCATTCCTGTTCCTGATCCTAGGAACTCCTAGGCCAGGGGCACCTGAGCCCACCATCCCAGCACTCAGATTTAACTGAACCTAAAGCAACTTGGTAGCACTATTGGGTTGCCTCCAGTAGCTGGTGGTGGGTGACCCCAAGACAAAACCATCAACTACCACCATCCCTGGCACTCTTATTAAGGAAGTTAAGTTCATACTAAATAGGTTTCCCGTTTTCATGCTGGAGTAACATGGAAGGTGATGGTCATGCTTTTCAGGGACTTCTATGTCCAAAAACGATGTCATTTTTTGGCCTCACTGAAGAGAAACTAAAACTCCCTGGCAGGGATAATAAACCAAGTGACACTTGCAGCTTCACAGTGCTTTGTAGAAGTGTGGTGATAGAAGCTGTCCTCAAAATTAGGGACCAGAACCAAGTTTCTTCAAAAGAGAAATTTGGAAGCTGGGCACCTACCTGTGGCTCATGCTTGCACTCCTAGCTACTCAGGAGGCTGAGGTCTGAGGATCCTGGCTCAAAGCCAGCCTGAGCAGGAACGTTTATAAGATTCTTATCTCCAAGACACTATCCACCCCACCCCTCCAAAAGCCAGAAATAGAGGTCTGGCTCAAGTGGTAGAACACTAGCCTTGAGCAAAAGCTCAGGGAAAGTTCCTAGGCCCTGAGTTCAAGCCTCAGGATTGGCACATACACACCCACCCCCAAAGAAAATCCCAAAAGTACAAAAAAAGAGCAATCTCAGGTTCAGTGCAACACAAGGAGAAATGGATGAATAACAACTCTTTATCTTAGGCCTTGGAGGAGCGCTACTTTGATTTTAAGAGATGGAATCCATCTAGGTCAAGAATAGGAAATATTAATCAAACACAAGCAGCTTTGTTGAGCAATATAATATGGGGAGGGGGAGGAGAACAATCTTATTTCTTTGTTAATTTGTCTGGGGTCTGATGAACTGCCTAGAAGTTAAGTGGTTACTGATAGGTAATAATGAGGGTGGCCATGAATGAGGTTTATATTTGGAGTTTTTTGGATTTTCTGAAACCATTTGTGTGGGTGTAGGAATTAGTCTGAATCAAAGATCCAGGAGGGTAATGTGCCCATTGCTAATTCTGGACATAAGCACACTCTCCACAGGACATTGTCCCTTTCTACTGTGGCACTATCTGGACTAGATTCCTCTAGTGCTGGCTAAGAGTTCTCAGTGAGTGAAAGAAACTAGAATTCACCTGCTTCTTATGTAAAACCCACGCCTGCTGCATAACAAGGAGAAAAATAGCATTTTTTAGATGCAAAATCTGATACAACACTTCAACAGGAAGGAAATGTGCTATCAAATGAATTCAGGGCAATAAATTTGGTTAAGGTAAGCAGAGACAAGCTTCTTAAGGGCCCTTGTTCAGCTGACTAAGGGAATCATTCCTCTAGAGGTGCTTCATCTTACTTGAAGCCTTTGTAAAACCAGCATTTGACATTATTATCCTTTGTGCTTAGAAACGTCCTAATGTAGCCTCATGAAGTCCTCACAAGTCTATATGACAGAATATATTATGACCTGTAGTAGTATCCATATAAGGAAATGGGGGGATACAGGTAACAATACCTCCAAGGCCACACAAGTAGTCAATGATGTAGACTTTGGTTTTGAACTCAAGCATCGGAGTCCATAGTGACACCAGTGTACTGTGTCATCTCTTCCTATCCATGTAACGGAGCAGAACCAAGTTAGTATAGTGCAGAATCTCTACAGATTCAGTTGGAATAGCTTTGTAACCTAGGTAAGATTCTAGCATTCTGTAACCTCCCACTCCTGCTGTCGCCTGTCCAGCCTGCTCCCGGATCAAACTTCTAAGTCCCTCATCATTGAGCTCCAGGGCGCAGGCCAGCTCCCCAACCCCCACCCTTCAGTCAGGCTTTGCCCAGAGTCCTCTGCGGACAAGGCCCCACTGTGATCTCTTCCTTTCCTTCTCTCCTGACTCTTCCCCCTCCCCTCGCATCGTGTTGTCCCTGGGGACGGCTCCTCTGGGCCCTGGGGGCGGGGCGGCGGAGCCCAGCAGTGTGGGGGAGGGGCCACGGAGCGGCCAACACCATTTGTGATCCTCGCCTGCCACCTACCGGCCGATGCGGGTACGACCTCTGGAGGAGCCCCATTGCGCCGGATCGCGACCGAGCAGCCATTTTGGCTTCCCGACCAGCGCCTTTTCCCCAAGACGTCGCAGCCCAAGCTCTCGGCTACAGGAAATGGCGGCCTGCGCAGGCGCACTCACACCGCAACCGCAAGTGGCTACGTGCAAGCCGCCGGGAAATCTCGCCAAAGCGGTGGACCACGCCTTCTGCCTGTCCTGCGTAATATTACGTCTCTGTCAGGTTCGGCTACTCTCAGGTCCACGCCTTTTCTTGTTTACAGCCTGACTCTGTTCCCAAGCAGATCGTGAATGTGAAAGAGGAGGAATTGGCAACCTCAGCATTATTACTGTTTTTTCTTGTTATTTCCGTTGTGTGTTGGGAGATGAGGTGCTGTCATGTGTAGTGAATGGTATTCATGTAGACTGGCATGTCTAGTCTCTAACTTTCAAGAGAGAGTATCTCCTGCCCTCGGTTGTGGAAATTAGATGCTTTATTTACTAGATCACTCTTGGAGTGAAGAAGAGGGGAGATTAGCTCAGGAAGATATTCACCACCTAGCTGGGAAAAGAGAAGAGACTGGAAGTTGTAAAAAGAAAAAACAAAATGGAGCAATGGCTCAAATGGTTGAGTACCAGCCTTAATCAGAAAAGGCAAGGGAAAGCATAAGGTCTATAGTTCAAGACCCAGTGCTAGTACAAGGCAAACACACACACACACACACACACACACACACACACATGATTTAACTATTAGCGAGGATCTGGTGGCTCACAATTGTAAACAGGAGGCTGACATCTGAGGATCTACTTTAAACCCAACTTGGGCAGGAAAATCTGTGAGATTCTTATCTCTAATTAACCAACAAAAAGCTGGAAGTACAGCTGTTGCTCAAGTGGTAGGGTGCTAGTATTGATCTAAAAATAAACTAAAGCAAGCAAGCAAGCTCAGAGACAGCATACAGATGAGGAGTTCAAGCCTCAGGACCAGCACAAAAAGAAACAGAGATGCCAATTTCAAAAGTACTTGCCTCAAATGTTGAACATTTTACAAAATTAGTGCACATTTTCTGAATAACAAAGCTAGCTGAGGTCTTTTTGTCCCTTCCTTTTCCTTACCTGAATCACCTCTACTCTGAATGCATATAAGCTTTCAGTCACCATCACCTTTCTATCTCAGACATACCCTTAACTCTTTATTCTAACTAGGCATAAACCTGGACAGACTAGGGGCTGCTCTACGGGATCCTGTGAACACAACAGGTGCCCCAGTGAACTTGCTCTTGTGGTTATTAACAGTATTGTGCACAAAAAGCCAGTAAGCTCTACTTACTTTGAAAAGCCATCTCTCCCATCATTTCCTTCCCCCAAAGACTCACATCACATCTCTGCACACACACAGCTATACACAGAGGAAACACTGGGTTCTTTTGAGCTTCCTAGATCCTCTTCTCACTGTTTGTAGGACTCCTATTCATAGGAATCTAATGAAGAAAAAAACCTCAAAAACAACCTCTCTGTTAAACCATACCAAAGACTCCTTCCCTGCTGTAGTACTGATGTGTTGCTCAAACGTGGTTCACATCTTATCCAACCTTCCCCCACTTATTCCACATAGACTGCATGAGGACTCCTTGCAAACAAAGCCATGCTTGATTTGTCTTGTTCCAGCCTGGACCAAACTAAAAGAGGGGGATACTTCCTAATTTGGGAGCACTAATGAGCTGCAAGCAATAGGATTTCACAGAAAGCTTCCTGGCCTCAGAGGCATTTGTTCCCACTAGGGCTTCCTTCTTTGCTCTGTTCCTGAGGCCAGCTCTCCTGCCTGACCTTCCTAGACAAAGGCTACTGCATACGCATGCTTTCTCGCTCCATTCCAGATTCTCAGCACTGCCTGTTGATGCCTTCCTTACCCCTTGGAGTTTGCCTTGGTAGCCTCCAGGTCTGCTACACTGCCATCCTTGCTATCAGCCGGGGCAACAGAGGCTGAAGTGGAACTGGAGCTGAGGGAAGAAAACAGAGAGGACCGCTGAGGTCTGCCACGGAAGTTGGCTGGGGCCCAACTTTTCCTCTTTGCCTGCCGCCTTCTCACAGGCAAATGGAACTGTGCCTGCCAGGGGTGGATGGCTTTTCAGTTGTACCACTGCTACCATCTGTCCTTTCCAGCCACATGTTCCCTCGGACTCAGCTCTCTCTGCTGAGCCTGACCTTGGGATTTCTCTCCCTCCCTCCTACCTGGTGAGCCACAGTATAGTCCCTTGGGGACAGGCTCACGGACAGTGCTCAGGACAATGTGTTCTCTTGGGTGGCCTCCCAGTGTCCTCCTTTCCGCTTCTGGTTCCCTACCACCTCACAGTGAGTTCATGGCGGTTGATGCTGAAAGGTCCTGGGACCAATAGCCTTATCACCTGTCCCACTTTTCCTACTGCCCCCAGTAGCTCTAGATCAGGCCCCCGCCCTGCTGTGAGCACCTGACATTTGAAGGAGCTGAGAACTGTGGGCACTGGAGCTTGGAATGACTTCTGAGGGCTGGGTGTGGCAATGGGATTGGTCCCTGGGGAAGTTGTCACACTCTTACTTGACGGCTGCTGGTCCAGGCTCACAGGAGTGACAGCTGGCACCATGTACATCCTGATCACCCAACAAAGGGGTGGAGCTAGCGCCTGAACCGCACCTGTTGGAGGAGGCCAAGCTGGTCCAAGTTCAGGACTTTTTGTCCTGAAAAAAGTGGCTTTCTGTCCCCAAAGATGAGGAACTGCTCAAAGGACACGTGGGACAGTGTTGCCTACTGGTTAAGTGCAGCAACCTAGAAACACATGGTCTGGATTCCAATCATTGCTAGTCTCTCCTAGCTGTGTGACCTTGGGCACACTGCCTGACCTCTTTGGTCCACTGCTCTATTATCAGTAAACTAGGAACAAGCATCCGATCTTGGAAGTATTCTAACAGAAACAAATGAACTCATGAGCAAGTACTGCAAATACTGCCTCAACCATAGCACCTGCTAATATGCTCCCTGCTCTTACTGGATCTTGTGCTCATTTGTAGGCACGGGGACCTTTTCACCGTCCATCTGTATTTACCCAGTTGCTACATATTTCCTGAGCCTCTATTACCCAGGATCCCTGCTGTGAAGCCACATCCTCTGTCTCTGTAAAATACGCATACTGATGTTCACAGGGTACCGTGTCGCCTGCACACATCTGTGCCCTCCACTTGAGTAACATTTACTAAGACTCCCTCATGTTTGTCCCCAAGCCTATTCATACCAGTTGTGTAACTATAATGATTACACGCCATGATTGAACAAACGCATGAAAATGAATGGAAGAGGAAGTTGTTCCATAGGAGTAGAAAGCAAAGATTTCCTTTGATGAGGGGTGCATGAGCAAGAAAGATGGCCCAGATAAATATTCAAAACCAAAGCACCCAGAACCAGAGCCAATCATATTGGACCAAAAGTTGACAGTAGCCAATAATAAACTGAGGCAGTCTGCACCGCCGTGGGGAGAAGGCAGGGGAGTAGCTCCCCTTCCTCCCATAGTCTTCAGTACTCAGAAAGAAAATGGCACTTATCCATCCACCATTTATATATATACATCCATTTCTTTGTCCCTTTTGTATTCCCCATACATTCTATCTGCCCAAGGCGAGGCCCAGCTAAGGGACGGACCTTTGTCTAGTAGCTAGGCCTTGTACGTGCTCTGCAGGAGCTTAAGGGCCAAATGACAGTGGTGGGGGAAGAAGAAGCAAGATTGGAACACAAGTAATCCCAAGAGAAGTGGGAAGCCCAAGACAAAGGAGATGGTTGGGGGCAGGGCATGGGAGAAGCAGCACACAGCAATCCCAACAACTTACCAGAGCCCCCCACCCCTCAGCAGCCTTAGCAGTTTGGAAGCTTGAGCTTGGCCTATCACCAGAGATTTGAGAGTACCTGTGTGTCACAAACACCTTACCCTTTTGTGTCAGAGCCATTGTCTTCTCCAGTGGAGACTTCTGGTGTAGACCCTGTGGCTCCAGATTCCTCGGTGCCATCACTGAATTGCGCAGCTGATCTGTTTTAAGAAGAAAAGCATTTGACTGCGATTGCTCTTTGACCTTACCTAACTTACAAGTCTTGAGGGCAGGTCTCAAGGACTGGAAGTGCAGGCCCTTGATTGCCTCCTCCCTACATAGCTCTGACAAGAGTTTAGCCAACACCAAGTGGAGTCTAACAAGTATTTCTGTGTTTCTTTCAGACTTGATTGTTAAGGAACAGAGGCAAGAACCACAGCAAGGTGGAAACTTGGAGAGGAGGACATGTTGGGGGCCAACAGGGCAAGAGAGCACGGGGCAAGGCATTAGGCCATCAAAGGCAGAGATAAGGTTCTTCCATCTATCTGGGGCTCCATTTCCTTGTTCCCAGACACCAGAGTCCTGACTGGGACTCCAGGGTGCCACACTGAGAAGACTGGAGAGTGGGTTCAAATTCTCATGGAGGAAATGGGGATGTGCAGTCCTTGCTCACCAGATCATTCTTCCCTAGGCAGCCCAGAGATTTGCAGGGTGATGGTGGCATGAGCAGGCACAGCCATCCCCTCTGGGCTCATCCCTCTCCATCATGGCTCTGATTCCTCAGCCTTCACCCTCTGTTCCCAAATGTCTCCCTTTCTCGACAGACAAGTCTTTACTAGATGTTCTATAAACATCCATACTTTCTTTGGTCATTGAATTCCTCTGAGTGTCAACCTGGGAAAGACGATTTGTTCTAGAGTAATTGCATAGAAAGTGAGGCAGCTTTTGGTGAGTGGAAGGAACCCATTGAGGGCCAAGAACTCGGTTCACTGGGTGTTCTTAGCAGAAAGCTGCCCTTCCCATACCCCCCTCCCTCCCTTTCTTTCTTTCCTCACTCCTTCCTTTCCTCTCTCCCTCTTTCTCTCTTTCTCCCTGTCTCTCTCTCTCTTTCCTTCTTGCTGGTTTCTCTCTCTCTCTCTCACTGTGTGTGTGTGTGTGTGTGTATACCAGTACTGAAGCTTGAATTCAGGACCTGGGTGCTATTCCTTAGCTTTTGCTCTAAAGGAAGGTGTTCTACTATTTGAGCCATAGCTCCACTTCAGCTTTTTACTGCTGCTTAACTCGAGATCAAAGTCTTTATGGACCTTGGGGAGGTACAGGAGGGAAGAGATAGTAGGAGGAAATCAAAGGACAGGGTAACAATGTTCAACAAGACAAGACATGCACTCGCTACCTTACTCATGTAACTGTTACCTCTCTGTACAGCATCTTTACAATAAAATAAAATTTTAAAAAGAGTCTCATAGACATTCAAAATGCTGGATCCTCAGATCTCCTTCCCCTGAGTAGCTACGATTGTAGGTGTGCGCCACCAGTATGCAGCCCAAGCTGGCTCTGAATTTGTAATCTTCCTACCTCTGTCTTCTAAATGTTGGAATTACAGGCATGTACCACAACATCCAGCCCCATTAATTCTTATAACAAATATTCACTAAACACCTATACAATTGCCCGGGGCACACCAGAAATAGTCCTGGTCCCAGTTTCAGCTGCTGATCTTAGACCAAGTGCCATAGAGGCCTTCCGCTGGGTGCACATGGTCTTTGTGTTCTTGGGTTAGTCTGTTCCCTGGAGTGCATTACCTTTTAGAGTCCGTGTTGGGGCTCTTGAAGGTTTCCTCGCCAGCAGAGTTTCTCTTGAGCCCTACAGAGCAAGGTGCCTCCTTGTCTTTGTGGCCTGGGGAAGACCTATGGAGGAAAGACATGTGAGTTAACCACTTGGGAGCCACCTACATGCCAGGGGAGCCAGTTACGTCATCCTCAAATGCCAGTCGTCTAAAAGGAACTTAGTATCTCCTATTGATTAATTAACTGTCCACAAAAACTCATTGCTAATAATATTGACTGGGGAGCACACCCTGTCCTTATGACTTTCTATGCAACCCCAGGACATGGGCAGTGTTGTTATATTCTTATATTCCCATTTTCCAGGTAAGCCACCGTACATCTGGAAGGCCTGAGTGATGTGCTCCAAGTTCTACAGATAAGAGGAAGAGGTGGGATTTGAACCCAGCCTGAGTTCAGAGTTCTGGACGATGCTGCCTACCAGGTAAGCTAATCTAAATCTCAAGCCTCAACCTTTGTGCTATTGTCTTTGAGGCTGTGAGGAAGTCAGCCATCACTGCCATCTCAGGACGCCATCAGTCCTAGCTGATCGTGGCTACTCCCTCATCCTTGCCACCTCTCCTCCCTTCTGTCCCTTAATGTCTGGGTTCCCCGAGTTCCTCCCTGTCCGCACACTTGGCCACCTGCTGGGCTACCTACATCTGTTCTCTTCCCATGGCATCTACTGTCTCCCTTGAGCTAATGACTTCCCAATAGTTACCCACGTAAATTCATGGGAGGCCGTCTGAGGATGAGACAGTAGAATGCAGTGGCAGATAGCTAAGGTGGGGTGGCCAGAACCCCAGGGGGGGACAGTGGAACTTGAAGCAACACAGAATAAAATGGAAAGCAGTGTGTCGCAGGAAGCGGGATCCAAGGAGCAGTATAAGGGGACCTAGCGATGACTTTTTGATTCATCTTCCAAGCTACTTCTTCCAGGAAGCCTTCCCTGAGTTCTCAGTGTTGCAGGGATTAAGGGATCATCTTTGATGTATGATCCTGCTTCCCTCCCCACACTCTGGGCTTCACAAGTGCCCCATCCATCTTCTCTTGGGCTCAGCTCACGGCTCCCAAAGCTGCTTGCCTGTCACCTGCCTGTACGGTCCTCTGCTTCCCCCAAAAAGAGCTGGGCCCTTTGTACTCCAGGTTACTTGTGGCCCTGGGCTGGAGGTGGGGGGTGGGTTGAGGACAGACAAAGGCAGGCTAATTCAGGAATCTTACCCAGTTACCAGTGCTCCCCCCTGCCCACCACAGGCAAAGCAATTACCACAGCGGCTACAAGAGGCTACATGAACCCAGTGTCCCCATGCAGCCCAGCCATACTGTCACTTCCTGTGGACTGGGGCACACAGTGTGGTTAGCATTGGCCATGACTGCATTGACTCCATCATCAGACATAGAAGCGGCCACTCTGACTCAGAGCGTCCCTACTGTCCCTGGATCCCGCTGTGGCGACTGACTGCAGCCTCACAAGGCCCAAGTGCACATTTCATACTCAGTGTTCAGTGAAAGAATTAATTGAGGATAGAAAACCCAGGATTACTGGCACCTACTAATCTTTCAGCTCCACAGTGGCAAAACCAGGTGGCAGGCCTCGTCATTTGCATCCTGTCTCCCTAGAATGGTATACAGGAGCCAGGTGCCAGAAACTCACACCTGTTATCCTAGCTACTCAGGCTGAGATCTGAGGATCACAGTTCAAAGCCAGACTGAACAGAAAAGTCCATGACTCTCTTAGCTCCAATTATCCACCAAAAAGCCCAAAGTAGAGGTGTGGCGGTGTGGCACAAGTGATAGAGAGGCAGCCTTGAGCCTGAAAGCCAAGTGAGAGCTGGAGGGCCTGAGATCAAGCCCCCTTACCAACATGCAAGAAAAGAAAAACAGAAAAGAAAAAGAAAAAGGATAGTATAGAACGAAACAGGGTCACATCAGAGTTCTCCATACCTCATGCTTTCCAGTTCCGGGGCCACCACGCGGAGTCCTGCCCTGGGTGTTGTGATTTGCAGGCGGACAATCTCCTCACCTCTCAAGCTGCAGGCCAAAGGAGACACTGGAGGGTTGATGATGGGAAAATCCTCCAACTTCCCCATCTGTGTAGCATCCAGGGACCTTTTCCCTCAGGCGTCTCCTGGCTAGTGAGCAGGACACTCATGCCCACCAAGCTCCTCCTTTGGTTTGGCTTTCATCTGCTCTTTAACCTTGAACCTTCTGAGTACTGCAGCTGAGCTGAGGCCCCTTACCTTCAGGCCCCTGAGGAAGGAGTAGAAAGGGGGACACACTGCACCTTGAACTCTCTCAGGCACAGCAACAAGGCCTTCTGGGTAGAAATGAGACCATATCTGTGTGGCAATGAGAAGCCACAGGATTGGCTTGAAGTAGGGTGGGAACTGATGTGATCATATTCTCCTTACAAAGACAGAAGGCATCTTTAGATGCAGAGGGACATTTGGATACAGGCACATGAGAGAGAAGGTGGCCACGTGAAGACATAGGCAAAGAATCACAGAAGTAAAAAGTTGCAAGCCAAGGAATGGTATGGAGAGTGAGCATCAAAAGCTAAGAGAAAAACCTGGGGCAGATTCTCCCCTAAAATCTGCAGAAGCAGCATGATTCTGCCAACCTTGATAAGACTTTGGGCCTCTCACATTGCACGAAACTACATTTCTACGGTTTCAAGCCACCCGCTTTCTGGCATTTTGTTACAGAGTCTCAGCAGATGAATACAGGGGCCATCTTGTCTCTCCTTATCTGTTGCCCCATACAAGCCTTGCTACCTTCCCAAACCATAATCTGTAGAGAGCTCTAGTGCTATATGAAGTTTTCATTTGAGCTGATTACTACAGAAGACCAAGAACAGTTTGGAAATTTGCATACGGTTGGATAGCAGGCATTTCCTGAATCCCCAAAGTGATCGCTGAACACCCACTATGTCCCTGCACACCCGTGGGAATGGAAGTGACAGTGACCTGTGCCATAGAGCACATTAACCCATCCTGACACCATCCTGAGAGAGAGGAGGTGGGGGGGGGGGGCGGGGTGGAGGTAGGCTGGAAGGGAAGAATTCCTTCTCAATGCACTTAGTTGCAGTACTCATAGTTTCCAGTAGGGGGCAATACTAGGCTCTTTCTGCGAGTTCTGCAAATTAGCAAACCTATTATCAATACCACTGCCCAGTAGGCTAAATATTGAAATGCGATATCCTACTTATTTGAGACAATCTTGAGTAAAAATTGATGCTTTTTGTATGCCGTATATGAAAAAAAAATCAAAGTAGTGAAAGGTAAAGGGACTTGCTCAAGGTCACTCAGCCAACAGGAGGCAAATCCAGGGTTATATTTTGTGCCAGAAGCCATGCTCTTACTCCCTGTTCCCTAAATACTGTCAGGTTGCATCATGGGATCAATACCATAGGACCAGAACCCAGAAGGCTGAGGCCCTGCACTGATTTCAGAAGGCAGAGAGCTCATAAAGCATGACCAACACAACGATGGACAAGCAGCTCAATTCACAGGGTGCACCGGAGTCATGAGAAGGTAACCTTTGGACTGACATGTTAGAGTCAGGATGAAGGAGGGTCAGGATGAGGGAGGACACTGCCATGATATAGGATATAGCCCTCGCATCAACCTGCTTTGTTAGGACCCAGAGTTTGGTTGAGTCAACCCCTCTGGTTGGGCTTTTCAGATGGGTAGAGTTAGGAACTAGGCATGGGGGGGGGGGAGAACCACTGGTGACTGCCAAGCCCAGTGCAGCATCTGATTAATAGAGTCAGAGAACAAGACTCTCCAGAAGCTCAAGACTGGCCAGCAGCTCAACAGAAGTAGCTGTGTGTTTCATATTTAGTTTTGGCCGCAGAACTTTAGGGGAAAAGTGTCCAAGGCATCAAGGTGAGCCTACTATTAAGAGTTTGGACCCATCTCCAGCTTTTCGAACTAGTCACACTCTGACATGGGAAAATTCCTTCTGTCTGCTCTGTGAGAGAGCGTGGAGTCTAGAATGTTCCATAATCTGGCTTGAGCTCCATTTCCTAAGGCCACTCAGGCAAGACAATTTTGTCTCTCAAATCTGTCATATAGTACTACTCAAACTTCCACCTGTACTCTCTATTAAAGGCATCTTAAAATTATTCCTTTTTTTCAAAAGATGAAGAGAAATTAAAATGTATACTGTTGTGGCATGGCTCTTGTCAGATGTGTATGATATTTGGAGACAGGGGTCTCAGAGTACTGTAAGGTCACTAAAGTACTCCCACTCCAGTGTAGCTAGCATTCTCCAAAGAAGAGATGAAGATGTAGGCATATATATGGGGAAGATTATGCAAGAACACAAAGAAAAAGTGACCATCTACCTCGCAAGGAGAGAGGCCTCAGGAGGAATCAAGTCTTAATACACCTTGGTCTTGGATTACAGTCTCCAGAACCATGAGGAAGTTTCTGTAGCTGAAGCTGTCCAGTCTGTGGTTCCTGTCTACGGCTGCTGACCTAACCCCATCAACCACTAAGGCTCCTACATATTGTCTGACAAGGAGCTCTGCAACTCTCTTTTCCAAGCTGTAAGGTTCCTTACGGCTAGGTGCTGGTGGCTTACACCTGTAATCCTAGCTGCTTAGGAGGCTGAGATCTGAGGATTCTAGTTCAAAGCCAGCCTGGGTAGGCAAGTCTGCAAGACTCTTATCTCCAATTAACTACCAAAAAGCCAGAAGTGGAGCTAAGGCTCAAAGTTGTAGAACAGGAGCCTTGAGCACAAAAGCTCAGGGACAGTGTCCAGGCTCTGTGGTCAAGCCCTAGGACTGGCACAAACAAAGATCCCTTATGGATGGGAGCTCTGATGGGAGGAGTAGGGCAGACAGTGAAGGGTCACATGTCTAACAGTGGTGGAAGCTCAAGTTGGACGGTGTCAAATGGCTCCAGGAGAGCTAGAATAGACAGTTGTGGTCCAGGAAGTGACTCATAGGGATACACTCTCCTTTTCTAGCCTCAGGTGTTTCTCAGGGTGCCACAGAGGTGCAGAACTGGGCTTGGACAAAGCTCTCAATCTAGGCAGGTGCTTTCAACTGCAGCAAGCAGGCAGTGGCGCTCCCTGGAGGACTTAGCACTATTCAGTGCAAAGTACAAGGAGGTATTGATGCTCTTCATCTAAAGACAAGAGAGCACCATTATCTACCTGGACACTCAGGGCTTAGAAATCAGGGCAAATCACGGCCCCGCCTGGCGTGAGATAAGCAGGGCTCAGCCTGCCCCATGCCCTGTCACCACTCTGGCAGACCTTCTCTCTTTGGCAGGCCTAGCCAACTAGGCAGGTGGGAAACACCTGACTAACACACAGGGTAGAGCCAGCTTGTGGCTGAGTCCAGCTCCTGGACTCCTGACTTCCAAAGGGTGGGGCTAGGCACACTCCTCATGCATCCGATCTGCCCCTATCTGCACTGGCAAAGAGGGCAGCCGTGAACAGTGCTAGGGACTGCAGAGCTTCTTTCTCGGGCAGGCTGAGATTGGCCACTTTGTAGCAGCACCACGAGCAAGCTGAACAAGAGCACGCTATGGCAGCCGTGGCTGGCCATCTGAAGCCCTCCAGTTGGTACATTTTCTTGGGATGCTTTGCCACTGTGAGGCTCAGCCGTGCAAGGGTTAAGGTGACACAGATAAGTACTAAACAGACAAGAACCACGCGTTCCCTCCCTGGAGGCAGGCTGTTTTGCTCTTTTCAGCCCTGGGACATCCATTCAAATGAGCTCTTACTGATTTCTGCTCCCTGTCGTTCTGCCACTGGCCGCATGGGGACAGTGAACCCAGGCCCAGCAAAGGCTCTCTAGCATCTGAGTGGCAGAGATGAGTGATTCATTACCTGCTCAAGCCAGAAGTGGGTCTTGCCAGAGTAGGTGGCTGCCGGCTCCCCTCAGAAGTGCCGTCCTCATCTACCACTTCAACCCTGCAGGCAAGAGGAAAAGTGGCACTTGTGGTCATCTTGGTTGCCCCAGAGCCTACTGGCTCCAGTGTTTTCAGTGATGCCCAAATGAGGTGATCATGAAGTGGTCCAGGCTGGGGAACACAGGTCCTGCAGCTCAGGGTAAGGATGGCATTGGCAGCTGAATAGTACCTTGACAAAATTCACGTTCCTTACTTAGCTACCAGTAGTGCGCTCCTGGAATCCTAGCTACTCAGGAAGGATCTGAGGATTGCAGTTCGAAGGTGGTCCGGGCAGGAAAGTTCATGAGACATTTATCTCCAATTAACCAGGAAAAAGTCAGAAATGGAGCTGTGGCTCAAGGGGTAAAGTGCTAGCTTTTAGTGGAAAAAAACTAAGGGACAACATCTAGGCTCTGAGTTCAAGCCTCAGTACTGGTACATACACAATCCATGTTCCTTGGAACTTGTGATTCCAATCACATCTGGAAATAGGGTCTTTGGGGATGTAATCAAGGTAAAATGAGGTCACATTGGATTAGAATGGCTCCCAAATCTAATGACAGATTTCCTTCTAAGACAAGGCAGATCTGGACAGACACAGACACACAGAGAAAAGATGGCCATGTGAACACAGTGGTAGAGATTGGAACAAGTGAGGTACAGGCCAAGGCACACCAAGGATTGCTAGCCATCACCAGAAGCTTTCTCCCTTGGTGAATCTGGAAGAGATCAACCCTACCAGCACCTTGACTTAAGACTTCTAGCCTCTATAGCTGGGAGCTAGTCTATTCTGATGTTTTAAACCACCCAATTTGTGATATTTTCTGACAGCAGCCACAATAACCAAATACAGTTAGTGACACAGTGAGACTATTCTCTATCATTTACTTTGTGTTGTCACTACCCCATGCGTGTGATATTCTAATCAGCCTTTCTGGTCATTCAACACAGCAAGCTATTCCCACCTCTGATCCTCTGGGCCTCAGCCTAGAACACCTAGCATGCTGATCCTCCTTGAACTTCAGTTCTCAGCTTGTTATACAACCTTCCCTCGAAGGCCTTCCTTGTCCATCTAACCAAAGGTCCCTAAGAGACTCAAGTTCATAGAAGTTTCTTCAGCCTCTCTCCAAAATGTTCCTCACCCAGAGCGGAACCTATCTCACATAATCACACCCCTCCCTCACTCTCTTAGAATGTCCTGACATCCTGTTTGCCCTTTAGGACTCATTTCTAATGTCATGGTCACTTCTCAGGGAATGTCTCTTGGTTGCTCTGGTCCTGGGTAAAAGCAGAGTGTATGATAAGAGGCAAGAAGACTTTTGCTGGGGTCAAGGGAGATACTTCCTAATGGATCTTGGGCAATGGGTGGAGCAAAGGCATGAAGCTTAGCTAGCCAGAGATGCTCAGTAGCAAGCCTCTGGACCCAACTATGTCTGGAGGTACACAAATGAGGTCAAGAGAACAGCAACACATTGTCAGAGTGCCTGGGAAATGTGGTGGCACCATCTTGAATCATGGACCCAGCTTGATTAGCCACTGGCCTTTCACAAGTCCTGCTCAGGGACAACAATCCCCCCTCCTTCCCTGTCTCCCCACCCCTCCTTCCCTGTTTCCCCACACTCCTGCTGACAGGCAGCCTTCTACCATGGCCAGCAACAACAGACTTCCATGGCTTTCCTTGATGACACTTACCTCTTTGCAATAAATGGGGCCTGGATCTCCTGGGTAGGACTTCTGGAAAGGAAGCAGACAGAGCCTATAGACAGTGACCACAGCCACTTACCCCAGAAATTTCTAGATGACCCTCCTATACCCAGAATCACAGCTTCCCTCATGAGGGGCAGAGAGACTCCCTCCATTTTCTAGAAAGCACAGCCAAGAAGCTGAGAAGGTCCCAGGAGGAGGGCTCTTGGGAATTTTACAACCCAACCTTTCACCAGGCAAAGGGACTGGAGGCCTGAGGAAGAGGGAAGTATTCCAGAGCATGGAGCCAGGTGGTAGCAAAGCCAGGCTCAGAGCGCAGACATGTGGCCTGCTGGGCCTCCTTGCTGTCTCACTTACCCAGTGGTCTTCTTGGCCGCCGACAGGACATAGGAGTGCTCCCGGGAGGCTGTCTTCCTCACTACACTGCTTGCAGCCTCTGACCTGGAGCAGCATGGGACACATGGTAAAGTGGACACACTGTGCCAGTGTAGTGTAGGATGTCGTGAGAATGAGTCAGGACCACCCCGTGGGGGTGAGGGAGGAAGCCACAATGGTATCTGCTGCAAGGACCATTCCAAAAGAAATGTGGACTGCTTCCAAGCACACGGTGTGTGCCCAGCCCTGCCCTGGATGCTGACAGCCCCACCTTGGCACGTGGGTGCTATCTATTCTCTGTCATTCACTGGGCCTAAGGGGACTCTATTGACTTGCCTAAGAGCACAAATCTAACAGGTTGCAAAGCAGGCATTCAATGCAAGGTAGGTGCTAGCTCCTGCATTATTCACCTGCACTATTCCGGCTCAAGGTACAGTAGTTCCTTCCCTATGATTGTCATTCTTCCAGGCCTTCAGCAAAGGGCCTTTCCCATGCTCCTGAGCCACCGATGGGTCAGCAGAGCCACAGATGGGTGACCAGATGTCGACCCAAAGCAGAGCCTCAGTTTGTGGGTAAAGTTACATTCAAAATCCCAGAGCGTGTTCCTGCCTCCTGAGTGTAGTGTAGGGCCTGCTAGGACTTTGCACATGGCACAACACACACACACGCGTAGAGGGTGCTGTACACAGCCCCTATCCTAGAGATCTTTGTTCCGTTTTCTCAAGACACTTTCTAACAAGCTGATAGAATCTCCTGAAGAACCTACAAATGAAGCTTCGCCCTGAACTTACTGCTGGCCTGTGTGTGGTACATTCTGTCACCCCAACTGGGGCAATTCCTGTCAGCAGCCTGGACAGTCAGGCCCTTGTCCTGCCCGTGAGGGACACCACCCTTACCTCCGTTTTTGCTCATCTGAAGAGAACGGCACCTCTTCCTCTTCAGCTCCTGATGTGGAGCTGCGCCTGATGTTATAGGGTGCCCTGGGAGTAGAGGAGAGGCAGTCATGGCTCTCCTACCGCCTCCCCCTTGCTCCTTGTCACAGCCTGCCACTCTTTGTGGTGCTGCTTCTGGACATCTGTATGCTGTTACTGCTGCCCTTGGGCCTTAGCTTGTACCATTTCCTCCTTCCTGAGAGCGGGCACTCTTCCCTATCCCATTCCCTCTAGACCCAGTTCAACTCACCACTTCCCTAGAATGACGGGCCATCTACTCCACAACATTGGATGATGGGAATGAGGGACCAGCAATATAAAGCCCCTGGGAAGTACAGGTACTACTTATAGCTTTATTTTGATTCTCCTTTCCTAAGTGGGGGCCTCTGCTAAGAATACCAAGGGGAATCCTGAGGGAGGGGGCACATCTTAGAAAGGTTCACATCTTAGAAACAAGTCCGATAGAGACAAAAAAATTGTTCATATCTATATGCTGCCAGGGCCAGAAACAGTTCAAGGATCATCAAGCTCTCAGGCCAGCCTAGCCCAGATTGAGAGCCTCACACTTAGAGCGATACAGCACGTTGCCCAGTAAACATAGCCCACCAATAACAGTCACATGCCCATGGCCCATGGTCCTTTCTCCAGATCCCTGCACTCCTAGAAATGTTTTTGTGGTCAAAAAATGCACTGAAGCCAGGCATAGCAGTGCAGGCCTGTAACCTCACATGCAAAAGGCTGAGACATGAGGATCCAGAGTACAATGCTGCCCTGGCTACATAGGGAGACTTTGCCTCAAACATTAAACAAGAATAAAACCACTATGTATAGCTATCCAGTGTTATGGGACTCTGGTTGGCACTAGATCCCAGGTGCAACTGGCAAGGGTTGTCAAGTCTATGAGAGTAGGTTTCCCATCTCTTGCTTGGAGCCAAGTGTCTAACCGCTCTCAGTAGGCCCAATTATTGGGCTCAAAATTTGGGTCTGACAGTGCATACTTACAGCTTCTTGTAATCCTCAGTGGTCATCTTGTAGCCAGAGGAGGAGGGGCGGGGATTACCCGCTCCCATCAGTCCGGTAGCACTGGAGAGGCAAAGAGTTCCCATGTACCCATCCACAGGCCCTCTCTTGTTCCCAGACTCACTCACACAGCCCAACAGTCACGTGAGTGACAGATGGCTGGGGGGGAGGGGGGGAAAGGAAGGACTGGTAGCCTTTCCTCATTGCTGTCATCCCTGAAAGATACCTCTTGCCAACAGATTCACTGTGCCTTCTTCCTGTCCTCTAGGCTCCTTGGCCTTTCCTTTCTGATGGAGCCCCAGTTGTGCCTCACACCATGAGCTTGGATAATATGCCCCATCAGCCTTCTGATTGGCTAAAGCCAAGATCCCAGAATATGCAGTGTCAGCTGTCGGGCCAGCGGACCTCTGGCTCAGCTCCTCACAGCTGCATCCTCATGCCTCTGCCCCACACTGCACAGGCTGCTGTGGGAGCCAGTCAGGATATCTTCCCACACACACCATCACTTGCAGGAGGTACAGCCCTCTCTCTGCCATGAATCTGGACAGGGATCATGCCTTCCTTCCAGCCAATAGGTCAGTACCCCAATAGACATACCTTTTTGGAGCTCCATTAGCCTTAGGAAAGTTCTGCTGGGGCTGAGACGAGCTATCTATGGGCTTGGTGAACACTCCCCTGCAAGAGAGCCCAGATGTTGTTGAGAAGTCAGGGGGTGGCACAAGTGGCATGGGAAGGCAGGCAGGGATCTGCAGGCACTTACCGGATGATATAACCAGAAGAAGCCCTTGTGTTTGGAGGCCTGCTGTGAGAAAATGAGGTAGGAAGTGAAATGAAGCCTCCCTTAGAGGCTCAGATCATCTTTTTTTTAAATCCTGTCCCCAAGTGCATGAAAGGGTATTGGCTTATGGGTGTGCAGTATAGCAGACTGAGGGGAGCCAGACATCCCCATACCCTTAGCCCAGGTGCTCCCTCCATCTGTTGCTCGCAGTCTCTCCCAGGAAGAGCGGCCATAGCTCTTCTGTGGCCAGGCCCAGCATGGCGCTGACTCCTGTGCCTAGGAATGTGTGTTCTATGGCTGCTCATTTACTGCAGAAGTGTCTCTCCCAAAGTCCAGCTTGTTCCTGGTCTGCCTGGTCCTTATGCTCCTGCAGGAGAGCTCTCCTCAGCTCTTCTTACACACAACCGTCCTGCTGTCTGCTCTCACAACTGAACGAATTCAGGATAAAGGTTCCCCAAAATGTGTAGGTTTGGGCTCAGGGACAGGAGATCAGGGCACCTCCGAGAAACCTTCGTTAGAGCTGGATATGGAGACAAACACTCCGGGTAGACAGTCCCTCTGTCCACCAACGGAAAGGCTTTGGGCTAGAGCAGTGGGGTCAGGGCAAAGGGTAATGCAGAAGCCCAATATTCTTCATCCGCACACACCCTGTCTTTCACAAGGTCGTCAACCTGCAGCAACACTTAGAGTGAGACCCATTTGAGCCAGGTGGCTCATATGAGTGAATGTCTGTCATACATTAAGGAAGCTAGGACTCCGTGCCAGTGCTGCCCATCCTAATTCCCACTTGTCTCCTTAGGATATATCGCTTTACTTGAGCTGAGCCCGTGTCCCCGGAAGGAATGTGGGCCCGTAGAGAGAGGATCTAGTTCTCAACGAATACTATACCCTGTGTGCCCAACAAAGGATCTGGCAGTGAGTAGAAATTTTGAGTCATTAAGCAAGGCTGAAGTTACTAGAATCTACCCTCTGAGCCACACGGCCTCTACCATCACCTGCAACACCCCCCCTTCCCGATGCCACTGCCAGCAGTTTGGAACAAGGACCGAGCATGTCATTCAGGAGAGTGCCTCCCGATGCCAGCAGGATGTGCCCACACTTCTGATGGAAAAGCCTTAAAATACAGGCCAATTCCATGTGGCCAGCTGTGAGTCTGAACTTAGGGGGACAGTTGGAGCAAACTGGTAAGGCTCCCCCAGCAGGCTAAGTGCTGTGTGTGCTTAGCAGTCAGGACAACAGGCAGGACTGAGTCACCGGTGAATCAAAATCACCTGAGAACCCTCAGAGATATGATCTTCTTTTCTGCAGGGCAAGTTTAGAATCCCAGCCTTGTTAATAATTTCTATCCCATGGCCACCTGAAGCCATAGCCCAGAAGGGAAGTCAGTGCTATTACTCCTGCACTGCAAGGCTAGGGAGTGGATCCTTTCCCTAGGGGGAAACGCAGCAGAAAAGCCTCACCTTCCTTATGGATTTCAAAAGACTCAGTGTTGTTTTTCCTGCCCCTGCTTAGTTCAGGACTTCTATGTGTCCCCTGTGCACGGTCCACTCTCTCTGCTTCCCAAGAGTCCTCGGTGCCCGCCTACAGGGTACTACAAAGTTCCAGGACACCACCTCTTACCTGGCCTTGGAGACCTCTCCAGGTGATGAAAAGGATGTGGCCCGATTCCGACACGTAGGCAGCTCTCTGGTGGGGGAGGGGAGAAGCAGGAGACCTTGTGAAAGACTGGCCCCCAAGGGCATCCGTCACCTGTCACCCGTGGCCTCCATTGTAGAGGCTACTGGATGCCACCATTCCCACCTCACCTTCTCCTTCCCAACCTTCCTCCACTGGTGCATGAGCACATAGATGCCCTAGCACCTGGGCGCTTTCCCGCTCTGTGACTTGTTCTAGGTCTTCCTTGCCCTTGGCTGGATTGCCTTCACCGTGCTCCATCATCTCTGACTGGCCAATGGTCACGATTGGAGTGAGCACTAAGGGAAAGCGCCCCTCAGCCTCCCCCCAAAAGGCTGAGGCCCCATGGATTGTACAGCCCCACTCCATTGCTGTCCTCCCTCCTGAACTTACATGGTGCGGCCCTCGGATTCATCCTGCTTGGTGATCCAGCTCTTGTCCCCTTTCAGGATGGTTCGAACTTTCATCTGCTTGAGGACATTATTGCGCTCCTCCTCACCTGGAGGCAGGGGCTTCCCTGGCAGGGCCAAGACCACACAACTTTAAAAGGGGAACCCTAGCCCCAAGGCCCTGCAGCCTCTTTTCTTTTCTTTTGCCCTCCCTTTGCTGCCTGGGCAGCGTTCATGGCCCTTGTGGGGTTATGTGGAACAAGACAAGTAGAGCACCTAGAAGCCTAAGCTCACCCTTGGTGCTGCTTCCCAGAGCTGAGATACTCATGGTGTTTGCTGCACAGTTTCCTTCTCAGTTGATTCAGTTGTAGCTCCTGGGGACAAAGGCAAACATATGTTAGTAACTTCATATGTTTGCGATGGCTTGTGGGTCACTTCTATAGTTGGGATGTGGCTTAATCCCTAGTTCATGCGTTGGAAACTTGGTTTCCCAGTGTGACAATAGTAAGGGGTGGCGGGACCTTTAACAGGTGAAGCTTACCCACAGTGAGGGTATTTCCGTGGGAATGAATTGTAGCTCATATGGAACTCTAGTTACTTCACATGGCAGAGTTGTTATCAAGGCGTGAGTCTGGCCAGGCCTCAGTCTCTTTCTGGCTTCCTATCTCATTGTGTGAGCTCATCCTCTCACATGCTGTGCTGCTACTGTGATGTCATCAGCCTAGAGACACTCAGCAGAGCCAAACTGCATGCCCACATCATGCCAGCCTCCTGAACTGTAAGCGAACCCAATCTTTTCTTTATAAAGTTCCCAGCCTCAGTAACAGAAAGAAGACTCATAGAGTCACTAAGTCATTCCTAGCACAAGAAGATCAATCGGTCTCCTTTGCCATGGGGGATGGCAAAGACTGGTGGAGTCCTGACTGGAGGCCGAAGGCCAGGGAGCAAGCACTCACTGTACCTACCACTGGGGAGTGACACCGCTACCTGTTTGCATGGGACAGCTCACCTGGAGGGCACAGAGCTCTCAAGCTGTCAGGAACTGTCTATTCAAGTAAATCACTGATTGGGGCCAAGCATGAACTTCCTAATGAGTGCCAATGACCTCATTCTGTACCCTTGGTAGTGTGGGGGAGACTGCTGGCAGCAAGGGAGCCTCTGCAGGGTCTTGGAGACTGGCATGGGGTTAAGACAGTCCAACTGGAACTGGAGCTGGTCTCAGGGCAATCAGGTGGCCTGACTTCCACGCATGTGGGGAGGACAGGGCTTGAGGAATCAGCTGCTTTGGGGCTGGACCATTTTTGTGACCCTTAGTAGCTGTCTGATGGACTTTGGACAGGTCAGACAATCTCTCCAGGCAGTCTCAGATTCATTTCTTCATTCGTAAAATGGGACTAGGAGTCTGACTTTCAGGATTTCTGTGAGGACAGGAAAGATGATTGGACAATTGGTCAGGAGCCAAGTAGCAGTAACTCTCAACTTTGCTGGAAGAGGGAGGGTCCGTAGTTAAATGGTCTGGGGTAATGCAGCTCTCTTTGGTTTAGGCTTGGCTCCATTTCCAGTGAGGAAAGCCTAGAGACTCACTGCTAACTCTTAGCAGGACCAGATGAGGGTGAAGTTCTGGTCAGGCCCCACATTAGCGTTTTCCTTTGCTCTTCCTCTTGCCTCCTCTGTGCCCTGCAGGGTGGGGGAAAGGCAGCAAGGGGTGGGCCATGCTGGTCTCTGAGCCCCTCACAACTCGAGGGCTGTCCACCTGTCCTCCAGACTGGGAGTGACTCAGAGCAGCAAGGATACCAAAGGTCTAGGATGTGGGTCTACTCGCTGTCTAGAGTGCTTTCAAAAGAGGACCTGGGAGGCTCAGAGGGGTCAGCAGGTGAGAAGTAGGGGCCGGGCTGTGCTAGCACAGTTCTGAGGAAGGAACAGCTTTTCTCCCCAGGGGCTGCCACCCTGTGGGCCCCTCCGGGGCTAGGCTCTGCCAGCTCTGTACTGCTGCCAGCTGGCAAAGCCTGGACATGTGTGGAAGTCAGGGGCACACTAAAAGGGGCAGGGCAAGGGGCCAAGACCAAACCAAATTAGCCACGTCAGCAAGAGCTGGCTCTCCCATAAACTGCACCAAATGAGCAGTCCAGGCAGCCCAAACCCGCTGCATGCCAGGAACGGCACCTCATCATGGAAGATGGGAGTCTTGCATGCCCAGCCCCTGCACTGAACTCAGCTGCCACATCAGACTGCTGTCAAGATCTCATTCCACAGGTGATCTTACAGCTGCATAGGCCCAATTACCCAACTGTCTCTATCCTGGACTCCTGGGGAGTGGCCTTACAGGCTGGGGCACACGGGTAAAGTCAGGCCCAGGTAGCCTGAGATCTTGGTCGTTGGTCTCCTGGTGCTACTTGGAGAACTTGCGAGAGTCCTTTGCTTTCTCTGGGCTTTAACTCCACACCTGCAAGCAAACACCTCGTACTACTTGATCTCACAGGGTCTTTCTAACCCTGTCAGGCTGTTCTTGCTGATTTAGCTTACTTTCTTCAGGGAACCTCAAGGACATTCTTCCTTTTCAGGACCTCAGAGGCTGTGGCCATTGGTTTGCACACATGAATTCCATCCCAGGCCCAGCATGAGACTCAGGAGCTCCTCAGATTCCCTTGATAGACTTAATGGCCATGCTGCCTAGAAGTCTTCTGTCAAATCTGAAGCACATAAGCTATTTCTCAAATCAATATAGACTTATACATGTGCAGAATGACATAAGCAGAGAGGCCATTGGCAACTCCCAGGCCAAAGGGGCAGGGACAGGAGCAGATAAACACCAGGGCTGATACTTCTGCATGGGCTACTCTCTCTCTCTCTCTTTCTCTCGGAACAGGCTGCATTTCAGAAGTCCAGTTTCTTTTTGGATAAGACAATAAATAAAAAAATCACTGCTAGAGTAGATTGAAGAGTAGGGCAGCTCTTTGGAATAAAAAACAAACAACCTTTAAGTTGATCCGTCTTAATCAGGTGGATTGACAAGTGGGGTTAGCTTCTAAGTCTTAGCCAGAGAGCTGCCATCTTTTTTCACTTTGCCATACTCTCCCATCTCCCCTCTGGGTTCAGGCTGAGATAACTTCTTTTTTTTTGTCGATTGTGGGGCTTGAACTCTGGGCCTGGGCTCTGTCTGTGTGCTCCTCAGCTCAAGGCGAGCGCTCTACCACTTGAGCCACAGCACCACTTCCGGTTTTCTAGTGGTTTTTATTGGAGATAAGAGTCTCACAGACTTTCCTGCCCGGGCTGGCTTTGAGCCATGATCCTCAGATCTCAGCCTCCTGAGTAGCTAGGATTACAGGACTGAGCCAACAGCACCGGGGCAACTTTTTTCCTGGTCATCCTGCATTCATCTGTCCTTCCTGCCAATAGCATTCATTGACTCTAATCCTACGTTTCCATATCCACCCCCATGTCTCACTCACCTCCTGATGTTTCCCTAGTGTTTCCAAGGGAATAATCTAGAAGCCCAACAGTCATACTAAACATAGTATGGCCAATCCAATCAAGCACACACTATGTAATTATTTCAAATTATACAAATTATACAAATATCTATATCTGAGGCTGGGAAGGTGGCTCAGTCGTAGAGCGCTTGCCTTGCATGCCTGAGGCCCTGGGTTCGATTCCTCAGCACCACATAAGCAAAAAGAAAAAAGCCGGAAGTGGCGCTATGGCTCAAGTGGTAGAGTGCTAGCCTTGAGCTGAAGAGCTGAGGGACAGCACCCAGGCCCAGAGTTCAGGCCCCACGACCAGACCCCCCCCCAGAAAAAAATAACAACAAATATCTATATCTGTGTCTATAATTTAACATGTCTTTCTATATAGTCTGTTTCCACACCTGTAGATTTAACCAACCTCAGATCAAAAGTACTAAAAAATTGCATCTATACAGCACAGAATAACCACCATTCGCATAGCAATGCCATTGTATTATAAGAAATCTAGCGATGATTTGAAACACATGGGAAGATGCACATGGAGCACGAAAATACAACACAATGTTATAGAAGGAACTTGAGCACCTGCAGACTTTGAGGCAGGTGCCTTTGGAGCCTGATCCAACAGTGAGGTCATGACAGCAAGAGAAGCAGTAGAAATATCCCTGAGGGAGGAAGCCACATTCTTTGCTCCAATGTGCAAGGGACACAAACTAGGACAGATGGCTGAAAAACAGTGCACACGTGGCCCACTAAAGGATCTGTTCCCTGCTTAGAGCAGAAGCACTGATCAGGTTAGGAGGAATCCCTGTACAACACACACACACACACACACACACACACACACACACACACACACACACACCACTCACACACACACACTCTCAGGGCAAGCTCCACAAACCTTGGTAAGTCAGGCTCTATGCAGAAAACAAAGTACTCAAAGAGACAACGAGAACTCCCTGCCTGTGAGGTTTGCATCTAGAAAATATAAAGTGTGGTGTCCAGACTGATGAGTATTGTCCTCTGTGGGCATATGTGCTCAGCACAGCCTCAGGCGCTTCTGCCTTCATATAAACAGAACGGGGGGAAGCAGGATAGTGAGGTCCCTGGCACAGATGTGTATGGCCCACAAAATATTTATGGCCTTATAGTTATTCCCCCAGGACCTGCTCTCTCTGCACTTAGGGTAAAAATAGCAAGTATAGAGTCAGTCAGCCTTGGGAGAAGCATCTACAGTCTGCCTCAGACTTTTCTGCTTTTCTCCAGCTGCCGCCAGTTCCAAGCCATGCTGTAAGAAGACCTGGCACTAGGCCACATGGGGCCCTGGGAAGTGCTAGCAAAGCTGGCCTCCATCACACAGTACATCCCACGAGCCAGGTCAGCACTCTGTATTGAGGTCCAGAGAACAGGACACGGACGCCTGGCAGCACAGCTGCAAACCACAGGCATTAACTACAATTTCATTCCTGCTTCACCATGACCAAATGAACCCAGGATAGGTCAGGGGCTGGCCCAGGACCATACTCCCAAAGATTTGAGCTGTGGTCCATATAGGAGCCCTGCTAACCGCATGCATGACAGCATCTTACGCTCCTGGTGTAAACGGACAGGATCTGGGCACACCCACTACCGGCCACCTCTCCTTTCTCCTCCAAAACTGAGCACTGGGGCCAGCCCTAGTAGCCTGACTATGCCCCCCGACTTGCCAGCTGCTTAGACTTATCAGCATGTTACTCCCGAAATCGACTGAAGAAGAGCAAGGCCTCCACTTTGCTGAGCAGCTTGCCTTCTGTTACCTTTGTCAGGCTTGTGCCTGAGATCCACGAATCTGAAAAAGTTCAAGAGCAAACTGCTGGGATTGGGGTTCCTTCCACGAACTTAAGTCATCCTGGTCCATCAGCTTTGAT